ATCTGGGAGTTTTCCTTAACTCTGGCCTCTCCCCCACCTCACATCCAGCAAATGACCACCTGTCAGTTCGACCTCGCGAGCATCACTAGCACCTGTCCCTCCTCCTTTTCATCTTCACTGCAACTGCCTTAGTTCAAGGCCCATCATGTCTCCAGCTTCACTGCTCCAACCTATTAACCATTCTCCTGCCTCCAAATTTGTTCCTCTCAACCCCCAATCCATTCCCTTCCTACTGCTTAAAGGGTCATCTTTCTAAAATTCAAATCCTATCTTGACAACCACCACCATAAATATCTTCCAGAAGCTCAAAAGATGATGATCACAACCCTGAACATCGAAAAAAAAGGCTTCAGTGATCTGCCTTGCACACCTAAACTCCCCACATGCCACTTCACTTCATTTCCATTAACTAGCAGCCTCTCGGGATTAGCTCTTCTCCTCCTCCCTCCTTCCCATCCTGCACCTTCTCTGCTTTCTATCCTACTCACTCTTTACAATGCAGCTCAACGACCACCTCCTCTTCAAACCACGCAGGCGTCCTAGGTTCCCTGAACCTTAAGTCTTGTCATTGCTCTGACAGCCCTCAACATGCTGTGTCAGTCACTGAATCACCGATCCTCTGCCCATTTCCCCACTCATTAATGAGACCCTTGAGCAAGGTGGTCCATGCTTTCCAAAGCTCTGAGTCACCAGTTCTAGTAAAGAGCCTTGGAGTCAATTATGCCAGAAATGAAGACCCAGAAGCTTACTTATCAAGCAACATGACATGGCCATAAGCATCATTCCTGGTTTTCCCCACTACTGAACTCTGAATCATGAGATGCTAACAAAGATAAGACACATCCTAATTTCAGAAATGTTAAAAGGTGAAAAACTGTCTATTAAACATATTAAGTAGCATGATCATAAAAACATATGTACTTAGCATTAAGACTCAAAAGCATTTAAAAAATCTAAGTGATGAAAATTTAACTTTCTGACAACTCAAATATTTCCACATGAAGACAACACATACATATTATCTTAAAAGGCAATTATAATGTTTTTCCTTTGAAACGTTAAGGAACTATTTGTTCTGCATCCTAATTGTGGTGTCACAGCACAAATCTCTATTAAAATTCACAGAATTCTGAAAAAAATGGAAGTCATAAAAAACATTTTATGAGATCCATTCAACATGATTGTCCTCAGGCCCATTCCCTGCATCCGACCGTCCACTAAGCCTGGACTCTACCTCCATGGACCCTGCCAAAGCCTGAAGAGACTCTTACCTCCCCTCGAACACTCGCTCCATTTCATGGACATGACTCAAATCCTGGAATGACCTCCTGCCAGGCCCACCTTCCTACTACCTCTGGCCATTTTTCTCTTCCCAGCTCTTGATCTCTGTCGCTTCCAGCTCCAGCTCAGCCTTTCTCTCATCCTCCTCCCACCCACTCCATTCACTATCCATCTCTTGTTCACTTTACCCTGTGAAATCTGAGCTCTGCTGGGCTGGAGGAAGGGGTTTCCCTTCTGTCCTGAAATGTTTCTTTACCTCTTCCCCAGGACAGACAGGGTTGGCTTCAAAAGGTTAAAAACTGAACATGGTAAGACACAGAACCCCCATAATAATCAGATTTTCCTTGGAAAACTTAACAAGCCTCCATACTGAGGGTAGGGGAGCAATACCTGTAAGCAGTTAGCATACACTCAGCTGTTTGGTATAACTCACTGACTCTTAGAAATTCCAGAGGGCACCCTGTTGCCTCTCCAGGGTGCTTCACTTACCACAGTTGCCAAAGGAATGTAAATGCAATCCTGGAGGTCCCAGCTTGCCCAACCCATCAACTACACAAGGTATGAAGAGGTACGTTTGTAGACATTTTAGGTCATCACCAATAAATACACATCTAACATGTATCAGTCACATCCTTATGTTTCATAAAGAATGAGAGTGCTATAGAAAGAACTCTACTAATATTCTATTTTGCTAAAAAGAAAATGAAAACACAAAAACTATTATGCAGTAAAACCTGGGAAACACACACCAAAGGTGATCCTCTTCAAAAAGACAAAATGATAAATGCCTATAAGTACAAGATAATCTGAAATGAAGTGCCCTGTAGGTCCACTAATTTTCATTACATGATAAATCTGCCAAATCTACAAGGGGGAAAATCAGCTTAGGGAATATGGTAGATTACTGCAGCAGGCAGCTGACAACGTGGAACTGATAAAGATCCACTGAAGAAAACACACACGCACAGAAGCACATGAACATATACACAAATACACTTGAGAGAAATAAATGCTAGTAGGTTTATACTAAGTTTGGCTGTCTGGCCTACATGATGTCAGGGCTTTTCAGTATTTCTTACAAAAACTCAAAGCGTTCTTCCATGAACCTTTTGGCAGGAAATCACTGCTGAAGGCCTATGACCAAATCCCCACTGAGGCACTCAGGAACCGTCAAATGGAAGAGGGCAAAGGATGTGAGGCTGGCGTTGAGGCCTTCCAGAAATCATGAGCAGCACGCACACAAGGTGGGGCTGTTCTTTGCTACCAGTGAATACTAGGACTAAAAAATAAAGGCATTGTTTCGTTTCTCCTTGATGCCATTCTCTTCCATTTTTCTCTGAAAATTCCCTTTACATGCAATTTTATACCTGTCAATCAATGCAAATTTGGTTTCTAACTCATGGCACCGTTCAACTCCCATTCTACATCCCCAGAGTTCTTTGAAAAACACTACCTATTACTTTCCTACCTTCTGAACATTATCTTTTGAAAACAGTGGGACTCAAACTTGCATTGAATTATATTCTTTGTGAGGTTTTTAAAACCATTACACAATAAAGAGTTATTGTGGGCTGGGTGTGGTGGCTCACACCTGTAATGTTAGCACTTTGGGAGGCCAAGGCAAGCGGATCACAAGGGCAGGAGATTGAGACCATCCTGGCCAACATAGTGAAACCCCATCTCTACTAAACACATAAAAATTAGCTGCATGTGGTGGCATGGCACCTGCAGTCCCAGCTACTTGGGAGGCTGAGGCAGGAGAACTGCTTGAACCCGGGAGGCAGAGGTTGTAGTGAGCTGAGATCACACTCCAGCCTGGTGAAAGAGCAAAACTCTGCCTCAAAAAAAAAAAAAAAAGTTATTTTGAAAAAACTCAGAAAATATATATAAGCCAGTAGAAACATCATTCAGAGATACTGGTGTACATTATCGTGCAGATATATTTTTTTTACAAAAATGTCACCACTATGAATCTTCCATGTAAAAATGCCATCAACATTATTCCATGTCAATGTTTTCTAACAAAACCATTTAATGATTACTTAATATTTCACTTTAGGTATGTAATATGATGTATTTAACAAATCTCCTATTCTTATAAATTAGAGTGGCTTTGTATTATACTTTAGGCTATTATAAAATCTGACACTGAAGATACTGTCTTAAAATATATTTACATGTATATTCATCTGATAGTTTCTTTAAGACAAATTATTATTAAAAATGAAATTGCTAAGCCAAAAGGCATGCAGCCTACCACCATCCCTCTTTTAGGTTTTTTTATTCATTTTGCCAATTCCTCCTCCAAAAGGGTTATTCTGATTTACTCTCCTTTTTATATATCATTCAAAAAAACATTTGTTTTCATAGATGCAGTCCTGCCCTCAAGGAGCTTACAATCTAAGAAAGAGAGAGACACCCATGCCCATATTATCATCACAAATTCTTCATTATAAGTTGAGGTAAGCTAAGAGAGGAATACTGCAAGATTGTAGCAATGTTAGAAGAACTCAATGTATGGCCTGAAGGATCGGGAAGAACTTGCATAAGGAAGAATGCTTCTGGGCTGAGGCCTAAGGTTTTCTGGTATAATCAGGTAAATACAGGTTCTAGAGAGCCTTGGATAAAACATTCTAAGCAAAGGGAACAGAGTGGGCAAAGCCAGTGCGAGGGAAAGGAACACAACCCATTTGAAAACATGTAAGCAGCTCACTGTGGCTTGGGCACAGAGGCAGTGGAGAGACAAGGCAAGAGGCCAGGCCACATGGGCCTTCCAGCAGAAGTAGTGTGGACTTCCTGCATTCTCCCTGATTTGTGAGGTCAATATTCAATACCCATGTGCTGAAACAGTTATATGGCAGTCAGAGCCTAAAGAATTAACAACTCAATAACGACACATGCATTAATTCATTCTAATACTGCCATAAAGATACTACCTGAGACTGGGTAATTTGTAAATAAAAGGCCTTCCTGAGGCCTTCCACATTACCGGGGTAGGCCTCAGGAAACTGGCAATCATGGAAGAAGGCAAAGGAGAAGCAAGGCATGTCTTACATGATGGTAGGAGAGAGAAAGAGCGTGAAGGGGAAGTGCCACACTTAAACCATCAGATCTCATGAGAATTCCCTCACTATCACAAGAGCAGCACGGGAGAAACTGCCCCCACGATCCAATCACCTCCCATGAGGTCCCTCCCTCAAACACGTAGGGATTACAATTCGAGATATGGGCGGGGACACAGAGACAAACCCTATCAATGACAATAAACTGTAAGTCAGAAAAACAGATGTAAACGGTTGTAAATAAAGCTACCAAGCTACCCTGCATAAGGAACGTACTTTGAATCTGCTTCCGAACATGTAAGCTTATGCCAGGTACTTAAACAATGCAATCAGCTAACCACATTGGTTTCGTATTTTGTCTAAAATATCTGCATTCCTTGACTTTAACAAATAGTATGTTAAGGCTGAAAAACATTAAAATGTATTTAAAGTTTATCAGAGAAGCTTCATATTCACATTTTACTTAATATAAAAAACTACAAATGTTACTTAAAGTTCTACTCTGGAGAAAAAGCTACCCCACAATCTTTCAATGACTGTAATTGGGCAAGGTTTCTTTACTCTAACTTGGGTTTTCTTCTAGATAATCTTCTGCATGAATAAAAGTTAAAATCAAGGTTTATGTATTTTTTAAAATCAAAAGAAGACATCAAGTACTCCTTCTGCAGTGTTTTTATTTATCCATGTAAATAGGCAATTATAATTTGAAGAACACTTTTTAGTTACTAATTAGACTATAAGAAAAATTGTACAGAAAGTTTGTACTATAAAATTACATCCCTAAGTGATTAGGGTCCTCAGTAACACAGAAATAAGAAATTCAAAAGGGTCACTGCTCAGCAATCCACGTAACTACAGAGTACAGCATGAGCTGCTACTAGTCATGATCAGAAAGACTTTATAAAAACATCTTCACATATTCCCTAGCATTATGTCCTACCACTAAAAGGAAAGCCTATGAAAATGCCATTGTTTATTTTGTATAAAGTAGCCCTTCTATTCCCCTCAAAGTTTTTTTCCAGCTATAAGACAAAAGGCAGTATCCCAGCTGGACACTGTGGCTCATGCCTGTAATCTCAGCACTTTGGGAGGCCGAGGCAGGCAGATCACGAAGTCAGTAGTTCAAGACCAGCCTGGCCAACATAGTGAAATCCATCTCTACTAAAAATACCAAAACATTAGCAGGGCGTGGTGGCACGTGCCTGTAGTCCCAGCTACTTGGGAGGCTGAGGCAGGAGAATCGCTTGAACCCAGGCAGCAGAGGTTGCAGTGAGCCAAGACTGCACCACTGCACTCCAGCCTGGGCCGCAGAGCGAGACTCCAACTCAAAAAAAAAAAAGAAAAGAAAAGGTGATATCCCTAAGGTATATACTTAATGAAGATTATCTCAACAGAAGCTCCAATGTTTTCTATTTTTCACTGTCCTTCCTGAAGTTCACCTGGATGTTCCAGAACAGTTTTCTAACCCTTTCATTACTGATTAGCCTACTAAAAGTAGAATTCTCCAGCAACACACAATACAAAAGACACAGGCTACAATAATCCTCACAAATACACCTTGAAATAGGTGTATGTGGACATAAATATAACTTTCCAGTCCATTATTTTTTCTAGTGACTAAACTCTAAATTTTTTTAAATGGAGGTTTTCAAACCAATGACGTGTTAAGTCCATTCTCATGACACATTCATTTAAACTTCTCATCTGCAAAACATAATGCAATAAATTATCAAAAAGAGGAAGAAAAAAACATGAAGCTCATCTGACTTACAAAATGAAAACCATATGCATTACAAGACATGTAATAGCAAATAGTAAGCTACACAATTTTTCTGAATAACTTTTTAACTCTTCTTGATTCTAAAAGTCACAAAAGATCAATGTAGAAAATCTGAAAAATATTCTGAGGTTTTAATTAATAGTCTGAGGTTTTAATTATTATTTTGACGCTATTTCTAGTGGTATTTTTTTCTATTATACATAAGTAATTGGGTTTAAGACAAGCAATTGACAGCATACTTTTTCTTGAATAAAATTAGGATATTATATTTGCATTTTTATCTTTTGTTTACTTAACATACAGCATGTTAAACATCTATGACATTAAAAATCCTTCTAAAACATGATTCTAACATATTACATGGATATGTCATAATATATTTAACCATTTCCCCCACTATTATATTGTTTCCAAATTTAACATGAGACTATCATAAAGATATTAAAAATTCGTATTTATGATTAAGATGTATTTGTTAAAAGTGATTTTAACATGACCAAAGCCATCCCATCTCAAAAACACAGACTGTTCTACCAGATTTTAACCTAGTCAAAGTTTACAAAATCATGAGCACATGGTATATATATTTACAAATAAATGTTTAAAATCATAAAAACTTCAATGTCTAAAAATATTAGAAATAACAGGAAATAGAATCATTATTACGGTTCAGTATATACTTTTAGAAAAAAATAAAACACCATGCTATATACTTAAATCTCTTCCAAATGAGTCAGAGAACATAGAACCATGTATTGGTACCAGAAGATGAAAAATTATCCACTAGTTAAAAAAAAGAAAATATCTGGAAAAAATGGAAGGGTAAGCTCAGCCTAGGCACTTAGGACAAAGGCCTTTCCTCCGATAAACTACAAGTACCATAGATCTCTCTCTCTCTCTCTCTCTCTGTCTCTCTGTCTCTCTCTCTCTCTCTCTCTCTGACAGGGCAACTGACACACGATTTTCTTCCTTCCTTTTAAGCCTTAATGTCCATCTTTAAATTTTCTGAATCAAACAAGAATTTTTTTATAATAGTTCCAGACATAATAGCTCTCAAAACTCAGGAAAGACTAATCTGTTAGAAGTTCAAAGCCCAGGCCAGGCACAGTGGTTCATATCCATATCCATAATCCCAGCCTGATGCAGGCAGATCACTTGAGCCAGGAGTTCTAGACCAGCCTGGACAACACGGCAAAACTCCATCTTTACTAAAAATACAAAAAATTAGCCAGATATAGTGGCACACACCTGCAGTCCCAGCTACCTGGGAGGCTGAGATGGCAGGATCGCCTGAGCCAAGGAAGTTGAGGCTTCAATGAGCTATAATTGTGCCACTACACTCCAGCCTGGATGACAGGTGTGAGACTCAAACAAAAAGTTCAAAGCCCAAACCTTGAAATGAAATGCTCATATTTAAGATTTCCAAATAAAAACGACTTTTCACCCTTTTTATACTTACTCAGTATGAGAAAATTTTGTTTCTTCCCTTTGTCTTGCAGAATAATTTAGGTTCCCACCTAAGACACAAATAAACACAGAATCTTTTCCATATAAGTATTATCAATAAGCAAATTTCAACCATACACACATACATGCAACCATTTGCACAGATATACTGTATTTTAAGTAACAGAAAAAGCTATGGATGATAAAAAGAAATAGTACATCTACTGGAACCTTCCCAAAGGAAAAAAATGAAATTCTTATGTGAAATAATCACCCCTTGATTTAAGCATTTTTTAAAGTTTGGACTTATGTATTGCTTCAGGTGTTAACTAGGACATTGTATTAATATTCAATAATGAAAATTAAGAGAAATTAAAGGAAATGAATGGATGTGGTGGCTCACACCTGTAAATCTCAGGCTAAGGTGGAAGGATTGCTTGAGCTCAGGAGTTTGAAACCAGCCTGGGCAACATAGTGGGACCTCATAGCTACACAAAATTTAAAAATTAGCTGGGTGTGGCGGCACATGCCTATAATCCCAGCTATTTGGGAGGCTGAAGTGGGAGGATCACTTGAGCTGGGGAGGCTGAGGCTGCAGTGAGCTGTAATCGCACCACTGCACTCCAGGCTGGGCAACAGAGTAAGACTCTGTCAAAAAAAAAAAAAAAGAAAGAAAGAAAACTATTAAAAAAAAAAAAAAAAGGAAATGACCTAACATTAAACAGCTCTATATTATATTCCACTAAATATATATAATACCCTTTAGGAGCAAGCAGTTAGAAAAATTACTGAGGGCAACATAAAATCTTACGAAGAACAACAAAAAAATGCACTAATACATATAGTATGAATTAGAAAAAAAAAACCTCTAATTTCTAATTATAAACCAAACATCTTCAACCTTAAAATGTAAATTATAGCTATAAATTTGCTTAGTTCTTACTTGTTTTAATGTAGGACAATAACACAGAGGGGCTTTAGGTTACTTTTTAAATGCCATATTTCTTTATGCCAGTGTAAAAATAACATATAAGATTTTATAAGAAACTGATCTGGCTAGAAGATTTTTTAAATGACAGCAATTTTAATAAATCTGAAGGCCCAGAAAACATAATTATGTATTATATCATCACATGTGTTTCCAGCATTATGAACAGAAAGTCATTACCGCATGAACTAAAGCACTGGCCCCCAAACAGGCAGACAACCCAGAGACCCCACAAGATGACCACTGTGGTTTGAGAAGCAAATATCAGATTTCTACTTACCCTGGGCACGATTCACCAAATAGAGTAAGACCACAGATAAAAGTGACACTAGGAGTGAAAAAACAGGGTCCTTAAAATATGTGTTTCTTCTCAATGATTCCTATGTAATCACAATTATGAAGTAAAGCTTGGACATAAACCTTTATTAATTGGCATTTAAAATTAAAATATTATTTTCACATTATTTTATTTTCCAAAAGCACTAAAAATAAGTTACAAAGCATTTTCTCCAAGGGCTACTCAGCCCAGGGGTGGCAGGGCCAGAAACAAAGAAGTTGAGGCCCCTACAAAAAAGGGAGCCACCCCAGCCGCAGGTTAGCCCGGCCCCTCTTTCCTCTCCCTTTCTCAGTGCTGGTCCTTTGCAGGACTTACCAAAAACTCCTGCCAGCCCCCGACTGTTTATCATTTTAGAGAAAGCCAAACAATAATCTTTTGGGGGTTTTCAGTCTAAAAACACCATGTCCATTTTATAAATTTTAAGTAACCAAACATTAAAATGTGATCATTAGACTCCCAGAAGCCCATAGCAAGTCAAGACCTCAAAATTCACGTTTTCCCTTAGCTTTTTCCCTAATAAGTGAAGAACACTGTTTAATTTACTTTAAAACAATAGAGCGGCCCTATTATTTTATTATTTTGTCTCATGCCTGTAATCCCAAAGGCAAAAGGAGCACTTGAGGCCAAGAATTCAAGTCCAGCCTGGGCAACAGAGCAAGCCAACATCTTTACAAAAAATGTAAAAATTAGCCAAGCACGGTGATGCACACCTGTAGTCTTAGCTACTATGGAGGCTGAGGTGGGAGGATCACTTGAACCCCGGAGTTCAGAGTTACAGTGAGCTGTGACTGCTCCATTGCTTTCCAGCCTGGGTGACAGAGACAAATCCTAACTCTAAGAAAGTAGCAATAATAAAATAAAATAATAGAAAAACATTTTCAAATAGCACAGTGTTTGGTTTGAGACCCAAATATATGTGTTGAACTGTGGACTGACATTTAACCACATGCTGCAGCATCAAAAATAGACAAAAAACATTTTATGACCTATTACCTGAAATTCTTAGATGACCCACTTTTTTAAACATTTATCTTTAAAACTTGACATGTACATTTATTTATGAGATAATAAAACGCATTCAAGTCAACTCATAAGTGATTATCTGCAAATACCACACTTCAGGTATGGATAGTCTTTATTCCCTATAAATGAAAACAAAGTTTGATAAAATCGTCAATGTGGTTTGTTAATTTAAGCACAATACTGAAGTATAAATACATCTTAATGTGTTAAGGAAAGTTTTCTTTTCAGATAAACAAATTTATGTGTATGGTAAAGATTATGAAAAAATGCTAATTTATTTTTATATTTTTTCCAAGTTTCCTGATATTTCCTATTTCAAACCAATGAAATTACAAAAATTAAAAGCCACTTAAAATTGCCTAATAAATAACCATGAGCACTTAAACCTAAATTACACCAATGTTTCCAAAGAGTCACACTAGGGACATACTCAGGACTCTTCAAATTGTTCCACTTTAAGTGGGAAAATATGTTTTTAAAACTGTAAATAGTTAAAACAGAATATGAAACCAACTCCATCACTGCCTTTAAGGATAGGGATCTCCTGAAAAATACCTGTGCATCTTCAGAGGGCTAGAAAGTCACCAGCTAGGAAATTCTAATACACAGGCAAGAATTAGGCCAATCTGGGAGATATGCCTAAGTAAAAGTAGAACAAGCTGTTATGTAGTAAAAGAAACTAAATATTGTCACACGAAATACTCACAAGAAACACAGGCAATGAAGAAAACTTCTAAAAACAAATACCCCCGAGAATCCAGTATCATACCAGCAATGATGGAAATGACGGCCAACCCAAGATTCTGAATGGACTGCATGCTACAATGGCAGAAATATAAAGACATGTTTCATTTTCAAAGGTCTTCACACATAGGCTAACACTTCACTATAAATATTAGTATCTGTGAACTACATCCTATTTGTGTTCAGAGATGTTTTCAACCAGAGATGACTGGATTAGATTCTGGATTGGTTTTTACCCTATAACTATTTCCACTACTAGACTACTCAAAGGTAAGGGAGTTTGCCTCATTAAGTGCAATGTGGACTCAATACCTTTATGGTGAATGAAAGAAGGGCCATGTGAACACCAACCACAGGTGTGGTTTCCCCCTTTTGCCTTTCTGTGCCAGGGACTGGACTCAGCTTCTCATTGAGAAGCTTCACATAAACAGATAGGGAGATCGTAATGTCAGCCAGGATCTCTTCTGGGTTAGTTTACTCCAGCCCTCTTCCTGGAGGCTCCTTAGTGGCCACAACAGTATCTTAAACAGATTTACTGATTTTTCCAGTTATCTCCAGGTTCACAGCTGTTCCAGAAGCTGATGACAACCAGATTCAGATCTGGAGTTTTATATGATAATCAAATTGACACAGCAAAGAGAGACATCATGATCCACAGTGTAAATACTTACAAGCCATATGCAGTTCCCAGCTGATGTTCAGGAACTACAAATGCCACCATTGGCCACAGTGCACAGGCAAGCAATGAATAGGAGATTCCCAGAAGACACTATAGAAAGCAACACAGAAAAAGGTCAAGGTCTTACATTAACCAAAAGGTGATTTTCCTTTAATGCAGATTAGCAAACATGACAGAATAGTTAATATATGAATATTCAAGCAAATTTCGTTGTGATTAGGCTAAAATTCATATTCAAAATATATAAAAAAGTCTATGCCCTAAGAGTATCCCTCTAGTGTCTTAACCGTTTTCACTTGTCATCCTATTATCACCATACATAACGGCCTAGGGCCGAATATGCAGTCAAGAACCAAGAAGAAAATAAAGGTAATTTTTTAAAAGTTCTTAGTCATGTTTCAGGCAAGCTAATTTTCCAGTATTTATTGGGAACTACAGATCAGGCAATCAAGGCAACGTCATGCCAGCAGTCCAACATCCACCTCTGAGTCACCAACACCCAATGACCACCACCAACGCTTGGTAAACCTCACTCAATGCTGATTTTCTTCTTCTATTAAAAAGGAAATGTTGTGACTTAAATTTAAATGAGTACCACTTATACCTATCAGACTGGCAAAGATTAACACAATGCCAATGCCCACGACTAGCAAGGATGCTAAAAAAGTCACATTTGCACATTTCTGGAGTTATACATGGGTGGAAAGTTATTGTAGAGGTTTTACAATCTCTACCAAGCGGTTAAATATGCAGACCCCCTGCTGTAGCCTCCTGCTTCTAGGAGTCTGTACTGATCTGCAGAAACACTTCTACAGAAATTCCCGCTCACTGCACAAATATTTGTGTTCCAGATATTCCTTTATTAACAGGTAGGAAATGCAGCACTATGGCCTCAGGTCTTAAAAATGACGTTTTGAAGAACAATAATAAAAACTTGAATTTATTATCACGTTTTAACCTACTAAGCAAGTCAAAGAAAAAAAGTGGTCACTGGTCTAGTAGTTTTGTTTTGTTTGTTTTGTTTTTTGCCATCTACGATGGAATGTCTTCTTTTAAGTCATTTATTTCATAAAAACAAATGGGGCTAATAAGCATCCTGGCTTTTATAAGGACACTTTATTTCAAATTCTCTTTCAGCACTGAAATTGACTGGTTAAATTCATCAAATGAAATGAAAAGACACCTCATATGTTAATAATTCATAATTATACTTTAAAAATAATTATTTTGTAGAAGTTGGAATCAAGTCATTGTTTCCCCACTATCACAGGCCTTGTCATCTGAATCTGCTGAGCATGCTTACTTAAGATGAACATGACAGACTCCTTGCTGAAGCCCTGAGCCCACCACGTGCTAACACAGACGTTACCATAGCAATCCAAGGGTTCCACATCGTAAAGGCCAGCATCATGTGGGACACCAGAGTGGCTGCTACCGCGCACAAAACCCAGATGATGTTCCTCCCTGTTTTATCCACCAGGAGCCCAAATACCGGGGACATGGGAGCTGATATGACATATACAACACTGCCCAGAGAAAACACAAGACATTTCATGAAATGCAACACAGCCAAACATGACTATCAAGAAAGTCCTGAAAATATCAGGCAAAGCAAATCCTAACTCATTTAACATTCTTATAAAATGGTCATCAGAAAATAGAAATATAAAAAGCAGTCCAAGACTTCTTTGGTTGTCCACTAACTTAAACATGGCCACCTGGAATTCAAGTCCCAATGTACTCTCAGTTTCACACTAAAAATAGTTAAGTCACATACCTCTTTTTTGCTTCTTATAACATTTAGTTATAAAGACCCACACACTTCATATGCAATAAGCACTTAAAAATTAATAAAAATACCTGTTAATTGCACTCGCTGCCTGGGAAGAAAATCCAAATTTCTCTGTAAAGAAAACTCTAAAATTAAAAAGATAGATAAATTAGCATATTAGACTGAACTACTCTGTTTTCAAAAAATAAAATTGAATAAAAATAACTCGTTTAATCAACTTCTTTCTTGATACTATTTCCCACCTTATTTGATATTCACCTTAAAGCAATCTGCTAAAGCTTCAGTATTTATATTAATGTTTACTAAATAAAATATGATGCCTATTTTTTTCCTTTTCTGGTATGCAGTAAGCAATATACACAAATTTTCAGAAAATCAAATATACTACCACAGGGACTTAAGGCTGCTTCTTTTCCTTAAAAGCAGTACTGGCTGGGTACTTTGCTAAATAATAAATAGGGATCTTGTCTCAAATTATTTAAAAGGATAGCCTGAACTTAAAGGGTATAAACCATACACCTACACAAACACACATAAGCAGCAGCCAATGAAAAAGGAGGGAGGAGTAGAGGATAAAGCAAAGAAGAATTTGCTTTGAACCCCAAATTTTATCTACATTAGGTATTTCTCCTAATGCTATCCCTACCCTAGCCCCAACTCCCTGCTATCCCTCCCCTAGTCCCCCTCAACCCCTTACAGGACCTAGTTTGTGTTGTTCCCTTCTCTGTATCCATGTTGAACCCAGAATTTAAGTCTGGCAGAATTACAGTTCTAACAAATGAAGATGTGCCCAGTAACAGTGCACCAACAGTCTCCATTCTCAGTAAGAGCCTTTCTAATCAAGGAATAATGAGGGAATAAGAAAGAATACTAGTCTAAAATCAACTATTAAAACAAATCAATATTACAAATCAAACATTATTAAGTACTGAAATGATCTGGCTGTGTCCCCATTCAAATCTCATCTTGAATTGTGATCCCCATAATCCCCACAAGTTAGGGAAGGGACCCTGTGGAATGTAACTGAATCACGGGGGTGGTTTCCCCCAAGCTTTTCTCATAATAGTGAGTTCTCACGAGATTTGATGATTTTATAAGCATCTGGCATTTCCCCTGCTGGCACTCATTTTTCTCTCGTGCCATCATGTGAAGAAGGGTGTGTTTGCTTCCCTTTCCGCCACGATTATACGTTTCCTGAGGTCTTCCCAGCCCCATAGAACTGTGAGTCAATTAAACCTCTTTCCTTTATAAATTGCCCAGTCTTGGGCAGTTCTTTATTAGCAATATGAGAACAGGCTAATACAGGTATTTCTTCAAAAGAATAGTAAAAGTATAAAACCAATACTAAACCTTAAGCTAAAATAAAATGTATATTCTGGGATCTAAAGTAATTCCTGTGAAAATATAAGCTATAACCAGAGACACAAGATTTACTGTTTTAAAAACTATATTTATGTGATTGAACTCTCATGATAATTTGGACAAGAAACAATGGAAACATAGAGAATACTCACTTCCCAAGTCCAATAAAAGGGAACACAGCAACATAATAGCAGACACAGATGATAAATATGAGCCACAGGGGTAAGGAGAAGTCCTTTACATCAGTTAATTTAATAACTTCACCTTAGAGAAGAAAGGGAAGACACTATCAGCATAATTTTGTATACCTAAGGGGCTTTCATCTATAATCAAGATTATATTTTAAAATCATGTGATTAATCTTTGCAATTCAGTTTTTTAAAAATGCTTTTCTAGTAAATCACACAAACATTATTTCTGGGATAACTTACATAGACATAACATAAAAAAAAGCAAAACCTAAAACTGGCATCTACCTTCCCTGCTCCCTTCCAAGAACAATAACCATTTTGCAAATATACAAAGAACAATCAAGAATGTAAATTCTGCCAAAAGGTTTAAGGGGAAAAGAAATATATCTAAAAATTTAGAAAAGTAAAAATCAATTTGGAAATAAAAAATCATGTATTAAGCTCCACCTGGTTTTATAACACTTCTTTAGGAACTTATTGTCAAATCTCACAAACGCCACTGTTTTCCTGAAGTCCCAATTTTTCATTTAGACTTACCTGTTTTTCCTTGTTCTTTATGAAGGATTCTCTCTGCTCTCTGATCCAAGTAGGCAAGAGCCAAGGCACAGATTAGTGAAAGAACACATGTTATACCCCCTAAATAAAAAAAAAGAAAACCAGATTCCGACAAGAGAACCAAACTGAAGGTTCCTAAAGAGAAGTACACTACATAAACAGCAGAAAGCAGCAATTGAAAGGGATGTCACCTACAGACATGAGAAAATCTACAATTACTAAAGCAGGACAGAAGAGGAACAGTACATTTAAATACCCAGCAAACAATAGTAGCTTTTACTATATTATTTCCCAGTTTGAAGTTAAAGATTAGAAGGAAAAGACTAGAAAAAGCTAGTCTAGTCCTGTAATGCAGCATACAGACTGAAGAAAGCTGATAACCAGCTACTGAATTAGTCCTCATTTCTTAATTCACTCTAAGCACCAATTGTCAATGGATGCCAGGGAAAAAATGATGAAAGCCAAGTTAGCCTCTTTTTTTTTTTTTTTTTTTTAATTTTTTATTGCATTTTAGGTTTTGGGGTACATGAGCAGAACATGCAAGACAGTTGCGTAGGTAATCACATGGCAGTGTGTTTTGCTTCCTTTCTCCCCTTCACCCACATTTGGCTCTCTAACTACCTGTCTTCCTTCGGATGCTTTCCCGGAGTCCCCAGCTTTTGCTCCTCTGCTCTGGCAGCCCAAGGGCCCCACCCTCCCAAAGCACAGTACTCTCAAGCTCTTTCCTGTGAGAACAGCGTATCTCTCTAATGCCAGTCTCATATCACTATAGAAAATCAGGATAAAGAGTGAATAACGGTACACTTCTCAGGAAGAACTTCCAAAAGACGCTTATAACAAACTGAATCACCTTGGACATAGAACATAAGCTCTCTCAGATTCAATTTCCCCAGTTTTAAATAAGAGGATTTGACTTGATGATGGCACAGGTCTTTTCTGGCTCTAAAAGCCTTACTCTAAAATTCCCCATTGTGGAGGAAATGACATGGAATACTAAGAAGCATTTAAGAGTAAAAAGGAGGTTCTCAGTAAGACACAAGAGTTGAGAGGGAGAGTTTGGAAGAATCTTTAAATATGCTTGCCTGTTTAGGATTACCTAAAAAGAGGACCACTCCATTGTCCTCTTTTTACCATACTGTATGTATCAAGGAATTATAAGAAATAAAACACAGAAAGACAAATATTATTCATACTTGGAATCTTAAAAAAAAAAACCCTGAGAGTAGAAGTAGATCTGTGGTTTAACTAGAGACTGGGGAGGAGATGGAAGACAGGAAGACAGGAAGACAGAGAGAGATGAATCAAGGGGTGCAAAGTTGTAATTAGAAGGAGGAAATTCTGGTGTTCTATTGCACAGTAGGGTGACTGTGGTTAACAGCAAGGTATTGTATATTACAAAATAGCTAGAAGAGAGGGTTTTGAGTGTTGTTACCACGAAAAAGATAGATGCATGAGGTGATGGATATGCTATATACTCTGATTTGATTGTTATACAATGTATCTGTGTACAGAAACATCAAACTGTACCCATAAATATGTATAATTTTGTCGCAATTTAAAAACTGGGGAAAAATGGAATAAAAGATGTGCGTATCTTGGGCACAGAGCTTTCACCCTATCATCACACAGGTCTCTCTAGAGCCCTGAAAACAGCCAAATACACACTGTGGGTTGTTAGACAAACTGCCTGCCCAGAGAAAAGGCAAAAGGGGTAAACCCAGAGGGCATTGTGCACTTCCCAGTGACCCAGCCAGCAACTAGCACCATGGAGCCTTGGCCAAGAGAACTTAGGGACAGTAATGACCTATACAGTCTTGTCGAAAGAAGTGTACTTTTACAGAAAAGAAAACAGACACAGATGGTTAACTTTCTTGTCTAAGAAGACAGAACTAGTAAGAGCTAGCATTAGAGCCCAGGGCTCCTGACTCACAATTTAGCAGTTTTTCAACCGTATCATATCACACCAGACTTCTATAAAATCTAAGCCCTCCAGGCACACTGACTGAAAAGGTCAGTATCTGATTAAAAGGAAACAATTCTCCCTTATGCTACGGACTTTTAATTAACACCTGACCTAAATAAATTTTCAGGTTGTTCTCAAAGAGTTTTTACATACATAACCTTTTATGTATGAGATGCAAATGGCAATATTAAAGTAGACAACAGGCCCAGCACGGTGGCTCATGCCTGTAATCCCGGAATTTTGGGATGCCAAGGTGGACGGATCACCTGAGGTCAGGAGTTCGAGACCAACCTGGCCAACATGGTGAAATCCCATCTCTACTAAAAATACAAAAATTAGCTGGGCACAGTGGTGGGAGCCAGTAATCCTAGCCACCTGGGAAGCTGAGGCAGGAGAATTGCTTGACCCTAGGAGGTAGAAGTTGCAGTGAGCCGAGATCACCACATTGCCAGCCTAAGCAACAGAGCAAGACTCTGTTTCAAAATAAAAATAAGTAGACAACAAGGAATAATGCCACCCATTTTAATAAATTTTAAATCCATTTTCAGAACGTGGAAATTAATATACAAATAGGGTAAATGATAGCCTATTTCTAGTTATGTCAAAGAGTTCATTAGAACCCTGGAGACAAAACTATAATCATAGTGACACAAATTCCAGTGTTCCTTCCTCCCTGCTACGATACTTCCTATGACAAGCTTTCAGGAGAGATGAGATGTGGGACACGGGACTCACTCACCGATCATAAGTGTGACCCCAAGTGTTGTGTGACCAGCAGAACCTAACAAAGCTTCAATCTTAGAATACAGCCATCCCATGAGGTTCATGTTTACTGTACTTCCCTAAATGAGAAGGAAAGAAAACCAACAGTAGTATTTTCAATTATATATACCTCTGCTTTGTTCAAAAAAAGGGTTTTGTGGTGGCTCAGAGAAATAAGTATAATAGGATCCAAATTAAACAGGAGGTAATTTCCTTAAAAAAACACAAGAAAAAATTGACAAACCAAGATAAAGCCACAGACAGTTACCACAGCAAAAACAAAAACAAAAACAAAAAACAGCCTATTTATTAGAGACAGCTAGTATAAAAAATAACACAGTACCTGTAGAACTTCTTACCAGCCAAAGCAAAAGTGAAACATGAGTTATAAAATCCAGAGTACCTATGACAAAAATATACCAGTAACTCAGAAAAAACACAACTTTTCCTGGCACTGAAATCTGGGGGAAAAACATCTTCCTCTGAATGTCCGTAAAGAAGACAGTAAAAGTTATGCACCTTGGGAGCCCAAGGCGGGTGAATCACAAGGTCAGGAGTTCAGGAACAGCCTAGCCAAGATGGTGAAATCCCAACTCTATTAAAAATACAAAAATTAGCCAGGCATGGTGACAGGCGCCTGTAATCCCAGCTACTTGGGAGGCTAAGGCAGGAGAATCAGTTGAACCAGGGTGGTAGAGGTTGCAGTGAGCCAAGACTGTGCCAATTAACTCCAGCCTGGGCAAGAGTGAGACTCCGTCTCAAAAAAACAAATAAAGCATAAAAGTATCCAACTTTCTTTAGTAAAAATATCCAACTTTTTTTTGGCAAAAAAAGTAAAATATCTAGTATATTAAATATCAACAAGTACTTTTAAAAAATGGAAGAAAAAAAGCTGGAAAGAGAATATAAAATTGGGAGTGGAGGCCTCCAAGCTGAAAGTGACTTTGGAGTATAAACTTGCCAAAAACTGTGGGGATACCTAAGGGAAGAGCACTCCAGGCAGAGGAACAGCCACTGCACAGGCCCCAAAAGGAGCTCACCTGGAGAGTTCAAGGAATGGCAAGAAGAGTAGAGGCTGGAACAGTGCAAATGGAGAAGGGAGAGGATGAGATGAGGTCCCAGTGAGGAAATGGTGGGAAGCAGAGCTACAGGAGAACTTTCAGTTTTTATTCTGTGTGAGAGAGAAAGCCACTGACTGGGGTTTGAGTAGAGAAATGGCATGACACTTTGACAGACTCATTCTGCTCACTCTATATTCAAAGCAGACCACAAGATAAAGCAAAGGCCCCAGCTAGGGAGCTAGAGCACTAACCCAAAACAGAGATGAGGCGGCCTAGCCCTGGGTGGTTAGCAGTGGGTGTGGTGGGAAGTGGTAAGAGCATAGATATATTTGCATATAAGTTGTCCTGAGTTTCTAGAAGGCAATCTCAGAGGCTTCTTAGAGGCAGTTTAGGGGTTATGAGAGTGGTAGCGAGATCTTGAAGAGGAGAAATGAGTCAGATCTCAGGCATCCACCTCAGTTACAGCCAAAGCTGCTCAACTTTTATCTGATTTATGTATTTAGGGTCCATGTAAGATGATTTTATGATCAAAACAGCCAAGAGCTGTTCCATTATGGAGCTGCTGGGGGTGGCATAGATTCCGTCTTTTTTGTGCTTCTCTTGTCCCCTGTGTAGCCTCGGCAGGGTCCTGGATTTACCTCTCCATGATTTTTCTATTGCCTGAGCTGGTGAATTTCATTTGTTTAGACACTTGAATTATTAGCATATACCACATATTTTCAATAAACTTCTCATTTTCCTTATTATTCATGTCTTAGCTCGGGATTGGAGATCCAGCACCGTTTTGATTTTCCTTCACTATCGTTACTTTAAAACTCATTTCAGCAAACATTTATTGAGTACTTGCTAAGCCAGGTCATGTTATTTTATTTAATAGATATTTTAAATAGTTAATAGAAATTATAAATAGTTATTTAATAGATATTTTAGAATGAAAGGATAATTAAGGCAACATCCTATCTTTGCGGAACTTACATTTTTGGTGATACTGGAGAAAGCTTCCAGTAGGTCCCTGTTAACCTTGTCGTTGATTTGAGTAATGCCATTAGCTTGCAATTTATAAAAAACAGCCATGTAAAATTTGCTACTGTATTTGCTGTGAGAATATTGTTGAAGGCATATACATTTCTCAGTCTTCAGTAGTGTTTGACTAATCAACAGCATTTCACACGGCTGACATCTTCTCCGCCTTGATTTCTTTTCTTGGGCTTCAGGATACCAGAGCCTGTAGTTTCCCCCTTGCCTTTCTGCCTACCCCAATGGAGCCCTTTTGTTGGCTCCACCTCAATCTTCTCAATCTGCAAATGTGGGAAGGGCCCCAGGGCTTGGTCAATTGACAGTATTTCTTTTCTTTCAACACTCACAGTCTTGATGATCTTACCAAGTTTTGCAATTTTAAGTAGCATTTTCCTTGCTCCTGAACTTACATCACTTGGCCAGATTTTTCCCCTGAATTCTATACCTGTATATGCAACTGCCTACTCAACATTTCCATTTGGATGAATGGCAGGCATGTCAAATCTAACATGCCCAAAACCCAGCTGCCTTTAACTGAGGATGTGAAAACTACAGCGGGAGCTGGTTTGGGAGATGGTGGGCAGAGTATCAAGAGCTAGGTTACAGCGCTTACAGTTGCTTAGGCAAAAACTGTGCTGTCATACTGAGCTCCCCTGTTGCTTTTCCCCCACACTCCACATATTTTCCATTAGCAATCCTACCAGCTCTATCATCAAAAGAATATGCACACATAGAGAAGGACAGAAACTTAGGGCTCCTCAGAATGCAGCTTAATGAATTATAACTAACTTAAAATGACAGAAAAGAACCCAATGTTCTAGTAACCAAAATGAAGTCAGTTGAGTCTTACTCAACTGATTTCACTTCCTTCTTTAAAAAGTTGTTAGAGAACTAGATTTACAAACTGCCACAAACATATCTTGACTTGCACAAGACTCGCAATGAAGCCTCTAGGAATATTGTTATAGATAAAATTTAGAAAACATGGAAAACCACACTATTTGCCAAAGAATTACAAATTCAAATATTTAGGTATTTCCTATGAAAGTGATAGAGTAACTTTTTTAAAAAGTAATAATGGCCTGTACTATCGATGCTACAATAAAAGGGATCCTCTCATATCCCACAGATGGGGATGTAAACGTCTCTGGGATGATAATGTGGAAATATGTCTCAACAGTCCTCAGACATCCTAAGAAATACACTGACTTAATGACTCCATTCCTGGCCACTTAGTCTAAGGAGACTAAAAGAGATGCATATAACTTTGACAGCAAGAGTGTTAGACTACAGCACTATTTCTAAAAGTGAAAAATTAGAAAGAACCTACATGTATAAAAACACAGAAATACTCATATGATGAAGTATGATATTAAAAGCTTTTTATATAGAATTTCTTCTTCCCTGAAATGATGTTGTATTTTCACGACACTTATTAGAAGTCAAAACTTGAAAGCTTGATTTTTTAGCAGCAAAAAATATTTTTTTTAATACTCTATTCATGGGAATTTATGAGGGAAAAAACCTAATGGGGTTTGGGACTGCCAACACACCTTATAGTTTGCATTAATAAAAACACAATGTTGTCTCTACAAAAAATACAAAAATTAGCAGGGCATGGTTGTGCACATCTGTAGTCCCCACTACTCTATAGGCTAAGGTAGGAAAATCACTTAAGCCTGAGAGGTCAAGGCTGCAATGAGCCAAGATTGTGCCTCTGCACTCCAGCTTGGGCAAGAGTGAGCCCCTGTCTGAAACAAAGGATGAAAGAAAAACCATAATGTTGTACCCCCTGGGTAGCCTCTATCAGGCCAAACCTGAAACACCATGATCATTTCTAGGTTCCAAATACCAACAGGACTACCAGCTAACTGAGGTAAGTTCAGAGAGGCTGCACCATGGTAAGGGAGCTAGATCCATGTCATGTGGCTCAGACAACCACAGGAAATGAGCACATGTGACCAAGAACTTAAGAGCTGTCTACAAAGGAACATGGCACAGCAGAGGAGGGAAGCTTTCCCTACAGAGAGCAGAAGAGCCATCAGTAAAAACTACTTGTAAAGGGAGGTTTCGTTGCTATGTGAGGTTATGCTTCATGAAGTTCATTGAAGTAGGTGGGCTGCCTGATCACAGAGCAAGCTTGCAATCCCTGGAAATATGGCAAACAGAACCTGGACAGCCATATGTGGAGAGGTTCATAGCAGGGATGCCAAAAATGGGTAAGAAATCAGACAACAAAACATATAAGATCCCTCCCTATCCTCAGAGTCTTTAAACTAATTTAATGTACATGCCATTTTAAACTGTTTACTAAATGAAATAAGGTTAGAAATGCCTTACTCAAGGGAAATGCTACGCTATGTTCTAGAGAAATACATAAAAGTTAATATCTAATTTACCATACACAAATACATTTCATCCTGTGATTTTTAAGAGATAACTATAAGATTTAATCTTTTGCTTCCCATTTGGCTTCATCAGGCTTTTCATTATACTTACAATTCTAGCCATGCTAAGTTGAAGTCCAAACACCAGGTTTAATTCTTTGCCTTTAAACCAGCTTACAGCATATGTATTCTGGGCAACTGCTAAGGACTCTCCACCAATTCTAAAAATAGAAAAAAACACACACAGAAAAGTCACAACTTTAAAGAAATACTATAGTTAGCAATGCAGTAGTTGAAAATGTTGACACTTCTCCTATCAAGAGATGGGGTCTCTGTCCCCTCCCCTTGAAGCCAGGTGGGTTTGTGACTACTTCAACCTACAGAATATGGTGGAAATGAGGCAGTGTGATCCCAAGGCTCATTCATCAAAGGTGACATCACCCTTTCACTCCAACACTGGCACTTGGAGCCCTGAACCACTACCCCCACACTATGAGAAAGCAACCCAGAAGGAGAGACCACATGTTAAGTGCCCCAGTCAGCAGTCCCAGCCTTTGAGGCACCCCAGTCCAGGTGTCAAATGTGTGAGTCAATGAGCTTTCAGATGATCCCAGCCCCAGCCTTCCATGAATCTTTGCCCCCAGACACTGGGGCAAAGACAAGCTGTCCTTGCTATACTTTGTCCAAATTTCTGCCCACAAAGTCCATGAGCATAAGGAAATGACTGTTTTATACTGCTAAGTGTTGGAGTCATATGATAGGCTGCAATAATAACCATGACAGGCAATAAAAGAGGCCTTGGTTACCACATCACCATCAATATTAACAAAATGCAGATGTGGGAAAAGTGGTCCATGCTTTGTGAAAACATAAAAATTCACACTTTTCAGAACAATATGCAAAGCTCTCCATCAGTCAGTCCCCCCATTCACTTTCCATATTCAACACTCTCCTGCTTCCTGGGCTTTAATTTTCCTTCAATACGTTCCAATATTTATGATTCTCCTCCAAGGACCTTCAGTTAGGAGCTTACTTCCTCAGTATCCTTACAACGAGCCCTCCTCAGTATTAAGGACTAAGAAATAGTCTTATTTCTTGTGACTCTGTCCTAGTCCAAAAATATTTTCCCTCTCTTCTACTAGCCCAAATCCTGTCCTTCTGTCAAGGCCTACTTCATCTGTAAGGCCATTTCTAAGCACATTTCTGTTTCTGAATCCCTGTCATATCTTTACATACATTCTGCTTCCTTTCTCTCTCACTTCCTTCTTTGTCTCACTTTTGGGACATGTCACCTACGTCTACGTGCTCCTGATACCTGTGCAAAGCTTGAATAAGTTACGCTTTTAAGACTGAGTTAGTTCTTCCATCTGGGTCCCTCAGGGCAGCAAGCCCAAGGCTGGTCTCAGAATAGGCTTACTGACTGTATATGGCTAACTGAACAAATAATGCAATTCAGGTAGAACAATCAGTCTATAAGAATTCACACAGAATAGTCAGCCTACATGTATTGAGCTCATTCAAGCAAGACTCTTGGACAGGGTTGAAAGGACCCTCACATCACTTGCTAACAAAGAGTGAAATGTCCATGAATCACTAACCTAGAAATTGATGGTGTACACTTTTCTAAACGTGGTTCAAATCATAGTCTCTAATACAACAGAACAGGCAAAAAGACTAGGAAAAATATCATTGCTAGAGAACTATTTAATACTTAAACCCCACACAGGGTTTACTGGGACCACTCAGAATTGTTGCTTATTTAAAAGGAAAACTAAGACAACTAAGAAATACTCTTATATATATGAAGCTAGGTTTCAAAAATGTGAAGTAAATTCCCAGAAGAGACACTGTTCTTTAAAAATCTTTCAGAGATGAACATTAATAATACATTAGGATAAATAAAATTATGCATTACTTACCCAAATACAAATCTTCCAAATTCCATCAGCCAAAAAGCATTAAATATTCCACCCAGAGCAAAAATAACCTATAATGTAGAAGTTAATGTCAAATCAATGAAAAAGTAAATTCAAGGTATTAAAGAGAAGCAAAAAGTAACATGACAAATCGCAACTGCTACAATGGTTTTAATATTCCTCCCTAATAAATCTGTGAAGTTAAAATATTAATGTTCATTTATTTCAAGGCTTAAAATAGACTATGGATTGTATCACATGTGCATTTCTGGGTTCTGCTTAATTAAGTGGGCATTAATTAAACACATCTTTGCCAATGGAATTAATTAGATAAGAATTTTAAAGTCACTGTCAATAATCAATGAATGTTTTGGCCTTCCTTACCTGTCCAATGCAAACAAAGCAGCTAAAAATGATTGCCCCCCATCTGTTTGGGAAAGAAAGAATAAGAATGAGAAAGAGAAAGGAAAGGGAAAGACAAAAAAATTCTTAATTTGTTTATATTAGTATTAGTAATCACAAAGTCCTTTAGTAATAATTCACTTTGGCTTTCTTTGTCCCCTCTGCATTCCCTCCAAAGAAAGAAAATAAAGGGCTCATCCCCTCTGAAGCCAGCAACTCTCCTAGTCTGAACGCTAATCTACAGAAGTCTAGACTTCTAAGGGGATTCCAGAGGCTTTAGCAATAGCGTATATTAGTTTAAATCATTATCATCTCTTAAACAAAACTAATCAACTAATCTTCAAGAAGTTCCCAGGGTCAAAACAATTTAAAAACATAAATTCTGTATAAAATTTCTAGTAAGTGTTTAGGATTGATTTCAAGGAATTTTACAGTAAGTAATTTTAAGTGGTTATAATTCTGGCTAACTAAAACCTATTTTTAAAAGGACAAATACCAACCACATTATACAGGTCTAACATCCTACAATCTGGGATCTGATCAATGTTCCCCTAGAATCATGAAGTGCCAGTATTAGAAGATTCCTTAAAGGCCATCAGAGTAACCATACTTCTTAAACTTAAATCTCTCTCCAGATCCTTGTGAAATGGCCATGACATGCTCCACTGAATGTTCTCTAGCACTGGAAAACTCACTATGGTCCCAAGATAATTTTTGTCATCTCCTTACAATCTGACCAAGCAAACTATTCATATTAAAAGGAATCTGTTCCCCAGAAGTTTCAAGCTAATTCTCTCTCGAGACCAAACAAAATAAACTTAATTCTTCCTTCATATTCTAACTCTTCAAAACTTTTAAAGGTTAGTCCCCAGGTATAAACTCTTAAAGTTTCTTTAATCTTTATTCATCAGACATGGTTTGAAGACCTTTCATAATCTTGGTCTCTGCCTTCTGAAAATATTCCCAGTCTATATTCCTCTTCAGTTCCACTAACAACATACAATAATAAGGATGAACAATGGCAAACTTATAGTGTTATTCCTTCCTCAGCATCTAACAGAAGTGGTCACAAAATGTTTTATGCCCTAAGAAAAGCAGAAATGGAAAATCTCACTGGGGCTGGAAGAAGCACATACTACCTATGTGCCAAATACTGTACATCCATCTCTCACTTAATCCTTAGACCCCTTGCAAGGTAGGAATCATCTGTATTTTAGCAATGAGAGAAGTGAAGCTCAGGGAACTGCAAACAGCTCAGAACAGCCAGGAAGATGAGCAAGTGGCAACGATGAGGTTCAGAACCTGGTTTATCTGATCCCAAGGGTGATAATTTTCCTATAGATAACTGAATTACCTGTATCAACAGTATTTCCTAGTCCTGACCTTAACTGAAATACCAAATTTCAAAAACCAATTCTAGAGATATAAAATTCATTTTTTTAAAAACTCATGCAAACTATCACAGTTAATACAGAAGTTTATTCAGTTCTTTCTAGAAACACCTTAATCTAGCTCTGTATTTTTCTAACAGTCAGGTAAGATTTACTCACAGGTGAAACTTTTTTCAAGCTTACCGTATTCCAAATACTCGGTCTATCAAAAAGCCACCAAAGAAACACAAAACTACATTGGGCCAAGAATACCAGGCATACAGCAGCATGAATTTCGTGGTATTCACTTGCATATCCTATATGAAAAGAAAATAAAACTATTTTTTTCCAAATAGTTAAGTTTAGCAACTAACAAATCAAAATATGACAATCTAAAATAGAAAGTAGGTACAGTCTTTTTTCTGTAAAGGCCAAGTTTTTTTAATCATTTGTAATTCACTAACTTCCTTGAGAATCTCATGAAACCTATAGCCCCTAGCCCAGAAAAATGGTCACACCTGGGAACCCTGGGAACTTCTTGAGTTCACATGCCATTTCAGGGGCTGGCTACATGGGCAGGGTAGGTAGAGATAGGCTAAGATTATCCTTGTATATGTGGACTCCTCCCACATACACAAGGATAATCTTAGCCTATCCCTAACTACCCTACCTTCTCCAACCCCTCAGGCATGCTCCTACTTCCTTTTTCTTTCATTCTAGAATGAATGAAAGAGAAATGCATTTTCCCTGTCCAAAGGTTAAAAAGAACCTGCAAAGAAAAAAGACTAACTAAATATCAAAAAACTGTAAATATCAAGTATGTTTTTACAATACAAAACCAGACTAAAAATCCTGACACGGACAATCCTCTGCAATCAGTATCCACATTTAAAAAAAAAAAATAATAATAACTAAAACCTATTTAAGAAGGCAAAAAAACTATCTTCACAAATCATTTGTCATTCAGGTGACTAAGAGCTGGGAAAGTGAAATGCAAACAAATACCTGCTCACATTTTTGGCAATACTGTGGAAATACCACATAATAATTTATCTAAGGTCTGAAACAATTCCAAGTCACATATGTGCTATCAGTGAATTATCTGTGGTAGGTAGCTCGTTTCAACTTAAAAACATCTTTTGCAACTTGTGGATCTGGTGACTACAGATGTCAAAACAGATTCAGTAGCCTCCTGAGGGTTGATAATATCTCCACAGCTACACTTGCTTTAAATAAAACAAAAGAAATAAAGGTGAAAAATCAACTTACCCGTTTAATCTGGGTCTGAAGGGCAGCAGGATTATCATAGCAAAAATAGCTGCCTAGAAAAGAGCAAATGCTTTGTAAGTAATAATACTTTCTATAAAAAAGTTTCAAGTTGCAGTTACTACTGAAATTACAATTCTGAATGCTGATACTATGGGCTGACACTACAGAAACATTTCTGAACCACTTCCTTATCCACCAGTATTTTCTAAGTTGTATCAAATAATTTCCATAAGTTAGTAGTATTCATACACAGCAAATATTGGGAACCTGAATTAAAAAGTCAACAATCAACAGTTAAATGTTTTTCTATTTTACTTTCATCATGCTTCACATATACATTATTTCATTAACATCTTCAGGAAGCATCTATATTTTCTTTATTTCCTTATTTACAAACACACATACACTAAAAACATTACAAACAACCTAAGTTTCCTAATAATGTTCGCTTAGAAACAAAGGAATGGGGTATAACCATTCTGACAAAACCGATATTTGAAACAAGTTGTCTAATTCTACAAACTACCTAAAATCAAATAATTTAGTGAATACAGTGCCAGGAACGAAGAAAAATAAAACTGAGAATTCCAAAGGATTAAATTAAAACATGCTTTGGGGGGATTAGAAAGAGAAGTTGGGAGAGATCTGATCCTGCACTCAGATTTATTTCAAAGATAAAATAATGTAGATTCCTTAGTAGGCTACAAGATAATATTAGCTCCATAGCTCTACTAACTCTACAAGTACATGAGGCTATTGTTTCTAATGGGAATAAAAACTGTCATTAGAAAGGCAGGAATCTGGTTTCTGAAACCTAGGCCGACAACCAGAATTTACCAAAAAACTGTTTGCTTAAGTAGGGACAATTTTTTAATGTTTCACTGTTGTTCTTTCTTCTTCTTCTTCTTTTTTTTTTTTCTTCTTGTTGTTTCTAAACTCTGCTTTAATCGCCTTTAAGGGATTCAATGTCATGCTTTAAAGCTAAAGGATGGGCATCATCTTTTAAAAAAACAGGGGAGAAGGGCAAAAAGAGTTGCAAGGAAACCAAAGTCCAAAGCATCCTTCATGTCTACTTGTTCGGTCCAGCAGTAGCATAGTTATCCATCATTATATTGTTAAACCTGCTGATACATGGGCTCCAGTTAGCCTCCTGAAAAACGCATTCAAACCAAATTCATACTAGACTAGTTGTTTAATAAATTAAAAACTGTAACATAGGAAGAAATTTTTTTTTCTAATTATCAAGAAATGGTTTTCAGAATCATCAGATATCATAAGTGAAACAAACCACTGTCAAGACTTCCACAAGTCCAGTCCAGTATGATTGCTTCACAGTGGCAGAGTGAAGGTTAAGAGAACATATCCACTCACTGAAGTTATCAGCAAGACACACTCATACATTTTCTCAAAGAGGATGAGAAATATATAAAAGACTACCAAAATCATTCATGTGTTTTAAAAGCTGGACAACATAGCAAGACCCAGTGTCTAAAAAAATAATTTAAAAAAAAATAGCTGGGTATGGTGGTGCCTGTCTGTGGTCCCAGCTACCTGGGTGGCTGAGGCAGGAGGATCGCTTGAGCACAGGGGGTGGAGGCTACAGTGAGCCACGTTCACAGAACTTCACTCCAGGCTGGGTGACAGAGCGAGCCCCTGCCTCACCAAAAACGAAACGAACGAAAGTCGTTTAGGAACATTAAAAGCTTTCTGAATTTCCTCTGAACACGTGTGCCAAGAGAGCAACCTTGAAAATTTAGAGTTAACCTTCAAATCTACGGCCTCAAGGGCGAGTTGCTAGCCCCTGGGACTTCTTGAAGGGCAAAGGAGCGGGACAAAACTCGCCCAGCTCAGTCCCTGGACCTCCACGTACCGGTCGCGGAGTAACTAGCAGCATCCACAGGTGTGGGTGGAGCCGCAAAGGGGAAAATGAGGCGGCCCAGGAGCCTAAGACAGAAGCCGCGCTGGGGCCTGGTGGCACCAGTGACCACGATGACAATCTACCTCAAGAGAAAGTCAGGAATTCCTTAAAGATCAGCCCCAACCTCCCCACGACCCTCCCGGCTCACCGAAGCCAAGGAAGCACATCAGTAACAGCACCAAAAGCCGGTGCGCCAGGCGACTGGGGTCGCAGAGGGCTGGCAGGGCCCCGGGGGCGGCGGGGGCACCGCTGTCGGCCTCGTCAGGGCCGCCAGCCAGCAGCGCTCGCGCTTCCTCATCCTCCTCCTCCATTGCGCGGGCCGGAGACGGAGAAGGGAAAGCGGCGACAACTTCTAGACCCTGCAGGAAGCAGCGCCCGCTGAGCGCAGCGCAGACGGCGATCACATGACTCCGGGAGCTCACGTGACGCGCCGGCGGGTCACGCACGGCCACGCCCACGTGAGCAGCCGCGGGACGGTTGGGAAGGCGCACCGGGCAGGTGATGACAGGGCGCGCTGCAGTTCGCTTTCCCTGGGTGACCGCGCTGTCTTTTCGTTTCCTGCCCTGCTGACGCGTGCACCTATTTCATACTCTGCGCAGCTCTGCGTGGAGAAAGTGCGGGGCTCCCTCTCCGTTCCACACCAAACTCCTGATTGCTCCGACCTGCTCTGGGGTCGCCAAGACGCGCGCTGCCCTTCTCCCAGTACTGGTCTCCCCAACGTCTTTGACCACCCTTAATACCGACGAACTTGGTCGGACAACTGATGTGTCCAGCCAAGTGTCACGTACTGGGAATACAAAGTGGATTGAGGCAAACTCTCTGAGATTCCAGAGTTCAGTTAGAGAAATTGACAGAATCTAGTACTTTTAAAACTTAACATGATGAATGAATGTGGTGAGAACAGCAGCAGAAAATGGCACTGAATTCCATATAAATATCTGGGAAGGGCATTTGAAAAGGGGAGAAAAGGTGTACAGTTTAACCAGCTTGGGGCAAGGGAGTGAGAGGCGCTGAAGCTCCTTAAACTTGAAACCCAGGCTAGAATGAGTGACAATGAGCCAGTCAGGGTGCTTGTTTGAGCGGGTTGGTTGGAGGGTGGGCAGTTACGAGGGATAAGAAAGAAAAAAAGCGTGAAACAGAACTGGGTTTATATGTGTTTGTATTGAACGAGAGAGGAGGAACTCGAGTTGAAACACTAAACCGGTTTCAAAAAGAGCCATGCAAGGATTTCGAACACAGCAGCAGGACTGCAAGCTTTGTGTTTAAAAAATAAATAAATAAATAAATCAGTCTGCCAGCACAGGACCACTTCGCTTTCTGGGGACTCTCAGGCTTTACCAAGAGAATTTTGAGGGTGTCAAAGCTAGAGGCTGAAAACTGTGAGAATTACTAGGAAGATGCTACAGTCAGAATGATTAGAGATGGCGAAGGCCTAATAGCAGTAAAAAGCAGAAATGGCACAGAAGAAACCAGTAATTGCTTAGAAGGTAAAATGGGAATAACTGTAAATAATAGCCTGTGCGATCTGAGAGGAAGGACTTGAGAGTGTCTCCCAGATTTCTAGCTTGGGACCCCAGTAGAGATCAAAATTTAGGGAGAGAAGTGGGTAGGAGAGAGTGCCAAGGATCAGGTGCTGCCTTTGAGATGTCTACGCATATCTCCACTTTCACCGTCCATCATCTCTTCAGCTACAGTGGAGGAGCTCCCAATCTAATAAAACTGTCTTGCTGAGATGAGTAATAACTCCATCTTTCCAAATACACTAGTCACTTCTCTGTCATCGTGCTCGACTTGTTATTATCAACTGATGCAGTTGACAGCCCCTCCTCTTTAGCATCCTTGGCACCATACTTGCCTTGTGTTCCTCCCACTTTGCTGGCCTATCTCATTTGCTGTCTTATCTGTCAACTCCTCCTCTTTTCAAAATCTAGATATTCAATGCTGCAAGACCCAGTCCTGTGCTTTCCTCCTCTCGTCCATTCCCATAGCTTTAAATACCCTCCCTCTGCATCCAGTAGGTAGCCATGTAGGGCTGTTGATCATTTGAAATGTGGATAGTTGGAAATGAGATATGCAATATGTATAAAATACACACCAGCCTACAAAGACGTGTATGAAAAAAATAACGTCCTGATTTGAATACTGATTACATGTTGAAATATTTTGCATATATTGGGTTAAATATATATTGAAACTAATTTCACCCATTTTTACTTTTCATGTGACTGCTCAAAAATGTAAAATTACATATGTGGTTTATCCTGCATTTCTGTTTATCCGTGTGGATTTATATGCTGTTGCCTCTAAAATGCCTCCATTCCAGACTCCTTTCTTGGGCAGTAAGACTACCATTCCAACTTGCTTTTCGACATCATGTGGATGATGTGGATGACTAATAAGCATCTCAAACTTATCACATCTAAAACAGAAGACTTGAATTCTCTCACCCATGCTATACCTGTTCCTCCGTAAATGTCCCTCAGCAAAGTAAATGGGACAAGCTAGCCACAAGTCTACCAGTCATCCTTGATGGCTTACTTCATCTCCCACATCTACTTCAGTATGTCTTGTCAACTCTCCTCCAAAATATACACTAGTTGTGCATGTTCTCCATGACTACTCCTCTTACTAGAATGATATCTATCAGAAAACTGCAACAGGCTCTTTAAAATTTTTTTGTTTTGCTTATATTCTATGAGAAGTACATCTGGCATATCATTCAAACAGTACCAAACAGAATAAAGTTCAAAGCAAATCTTTTCTGTCTCCCTATACCCAGTACTCATGGGAAGTAATCATCATTACTGGATTATTTTGAATCCTTCCAGAGTTACTACGCAGAGTTATTTTTCTTCCTTTCATCCCAGCAGTATAGCCTAGAAATTGTCCTTATTCCTGAAGACAATCTTGGAAACAACCTGTTTGCCCCACCATCCCTAATCAAGCTTGTGATCAGATTTTTGGTCTTTGCAAGTATGATCAGTGAAAAATTCCTATCATACTGCAGTCTCAATTTATATTTATATTGTGTTGAGGAATATTGAACATCTTTTATGTGATTAACAGCCATTTACATTTGTTCTAGGAATTCTCCTCTTATCCTTTGCTTATTTTTCCAGATGAGTTACTGAGGTTTTTTCTTATTGATTAAATAGGCTCTTTGTTGCAGATAGGAGTTGCAAATATTTATTTTGACTCTGTTTATGGTAAATCCATACAGTTTCTAATGCCAAACTCTCTGTTTTTTTCTTTTGTAACTCCAGGGATTTGCTTCTCACAGAAGATTTTCAATAGCCTCTATCAGTCTGTCTACTTCCATTGTTGCATTTCTATTATATGTTGCCCACACAACAATAAAAATGATCTTTTTAGTTTGGAGCTTTGATTTGTCAAAAAGTTATGAGGCAATCATCAATATCTGAACTAAAAGAAACAAAACTGGGCTGAGCACAGTGGTTCATGCCTGGAAACCCAATACTTTGGAAGGCCGAGTTGGGTGGATTGCTTGAACTCAGGAACTGGAGACCAGCCTGGGCAACATGATGAAACCTCATATCTCCAAAAACCAAAAATTAGCCAAATGTGGTGACATGCACCTGTAGTCCCAGCTGAGGTGGTAGGATCACTGGAGCCCAGAAAATAGAAGCTCCAGTGAGCCATGATTGCACCACTGTACTCCAGCCTGTGTGACATAGCGACCCTGTGAAAGAAAGAAAGAAAGAGAGGAAGAAAGAAAGAAAGAAGAGAAAGAAAGAAAGAAAGAAAGAAAGAAAGAAAGAAAGAAAGAAAAAGAAAGAAAGAAAAGAAAAAAGCAACAAAACTGGATTTACCGTATATGCTAATGACGAAAAGCTATGCTGGGTAGGCAGTCTCCCCAAACAGAGGAGGCTGCTGATGCTCTATGGAGCTTTGGGGAATATAGAGTTCAGGAATAGGTGCATTTCAAAGGGAAAAGAGTTTGCCATCATCTGTAGAAGAGTAGATATTCTGGTAAGACTGTTGTTAATTCTCCATTGAATTTATTGAAGTGAATATGTCATTGGCTGACTTTGAGAAAGAAGAGTTTTTTTCAAAACAACTTCTATTGAGGCAGTTGATTAATTGAATGGGTTTAAAACTGGTTCTAGGAGTGTGGAAACTTCCTTTAATTCTCAGGTCTTTAAAAAATTATTATAGAAATGTAAAACCTACAGAAAAAAATCAGAAAGTAATATAATGAAAAAGGTAATGCACCCACCAAACTGAGTGCCCAGGGAAGGACACAGGAAAGAGTTATTAGTCAGTGCAAACTCCCCAGTGCAGTGCCTGAGAACTTCTCCTTGGGAGCTTGCCCTTCTTAGGAATTCAGGTTACTTGGTTGCCTTGTAACCCAGCTGCATCTGATGGTTTCAGTTAAGGTTGTGACTTTGTAGTTCATCTGAGTTTTTCCCATTATTCAGAAAGGAAGGATGTTCATTGCAGCCTTTCATATCCTAAGCACAAAAGAAGTCTTTCCTCTCAATTTTAACAGCACATTAATGGTATATCACCCTTTTACTCCCAGTTTCTTAGTTGTCTCGTCTTTATGAGGTTTCGGCTTATTTGTTTTGTCATAAAAAGGGTTCTTTTTTTAGAATATAGTCAAATTTATCAATTTTTTTCTTTTATTGCATCTGGATTTTAAAACATAGTTAGAAATCCTCTCCTTGTACCCAAGTTATAGAAGAATTCACTCATTTTTTCCCTAATTACATGGTTTAATTATTTAGATTCCTGACCCATTTGGAGTTTATTCTTTTGCCTAGTATGAGATAGGGGTCAAATATTTTGTCTTTTTCTAAATGACTAACCAATTGTTAGGTACATCTTTGTCCAAGTGATTTGAGATGCCACCTTTATTGTATACTAAATTCCCATATGTATTTGGGTTTGCTTCTAAACTTTCTTTTCAGTTGTACTGGCCTGTCTTTCTTGCCATGCACCAGGACCACAGTTTTTATTTTAGAGGCTTCAGAGTATGTTTTAGTGACTGGTAGAGGTAGTCCCCTTTCATAGCCCTTGTTTTTGTTTTCCTGGATATTCTTCCATATTTTTTCATCTGAAATTAGTATCCGCTTGTCTAGCTCCATAAGAAAACTTGGTATTATCTGATGAACTTTAAAAATTAACTTAAGGAGACTTCACTTTTTAACGTTAAGTCATCGCATACAAAAAGAAGGGGTGTTCCATTTTTTCAAACTATTTTGTGTCTTTTGAGAGTGTTTACTTCATATATATTTTACACATTTCTTATTAACTTTATTATTCTTTGTTGCTTTTGTAAATGTAGTTTTCTCTCCCTTTATGTCATGCTACTGGTTATGTATGTGAAGACTGTTGATTATGTATGTTAATTGTATGTCCTGCCACCTTACTGAAGTCTTCTCTTGCTTGACTTAGTTTTGTTGTTAATTCTCTATGATTTTCCAGGTGTACTATCATACTGTCTGCAAAGACAGAGAGTTTTACTTACTCTTTTTAGTCCTTCTGCCTTCAATGGATTTTTCTTGTCTAATTGCAGTAGCTGATATCTCCAGTTCAATGTTAAATAGCGGTGAAGATAGTCTACATTCTTGCCTTGTACTTGGGAGAAATACTAAACAAACAGAAGCAAAAGGAATGCTCTTCCTTGTAGGAGAAAGCCAATCAGTAAATGTAGAAGGAATGATAGGAATAGAAAACTGCTATTTGCTAGGCATCATCATAATATTTGATCCTGGCAAGAATCATTAATAGTTGCCAAAATTAGTGGATAAAAGTTTGAAGTGTAAAGGATATATGCATAATCTCAAAGTGGCTCCTCACCAGAGATTTATTAATGACAAAGGAAAAAAATAGTGCAGAAACCTGGCCCACACACCTGAACCAAGGGATCATAGTTAATATTACCAGTATTGAGACAAAGTGACATCATGTGCCCCCAGATATGCACTGAAACTGAAAACACAAAACTGTGGTTTACTTAACAACAGCTCATGCCTAAATCTCAGCATAAGGAAACACCAAACAAACCCAAATTGAAGGATATTATACAAAATAACCGGCCTGTATTTCTCAGAGTCATCAAAAACTAAGGAACTGTCCTGATGAAAGAAGACTGCAGAGACGTGACAGCTGAATGCACCACATGATCCAGGATTTCTTTGGCTATAGAGAACCTTATTGGGATAGTTGACACAATCTAAGTTCTGTAAGTAAATAATTTGTATACTATCAGCAGTGATTTCCTGATTTTGACTATTGTACTGTGGTTATAAAAGAAGGTACTTGTTTTTAGAAAACACATACTCAGATATTTAGAAGTCAAAGAACATGTACGTAGATATAGTAGATATATATACATATATGTATATGGAGAGAGAGAATAAAACAGACGTGGTAAAATGTTGCCCTTTTAAGAGTATGAGTAGAGGGTATGTGTGAACTCTTTGTACTAGCCTTACAACTTTTCTGTAAATCTGAAACTATATCCACCACACTTTGACCTCCTGAGAGTTGTTTGCATCTTTGCATCTCAAGTATCTGGAACAGGGCCCAGCTTGAAAACGGCCTAAGTAAATCAGTGAGCCCCTTAAATCAGGAGCACATTGCACCACCTAGTGGTGTAACAAGGGAAGCTTACTGCTGTGGAAAAATCTATTCCTGTCCAAACAATGAACTTGTTCATTCTAACTGCATTGACCTATTATTAAACAAATTACACTTATTTTATAATTACCAAGTGATGGAAAAGTGAGAGCAATTCGAGGTGTAAGTATAGGCTTTATCATCTGGGACACAAGGTCACTAGATTGACCAGCCTGGTTTCACAGGTGTGGGGGTAGCTGCAGCCTCTGGAGCAAAGGTAGAAACAGAGACAGAAAAGAGAATAGGGCAACCCCGCAAAATCCCAAGTTTTGGATTCAGTCTTCATGTGCATTTACTTCCTACCACTCCTCCTGAGTGTTATGTGAGCCAAAACATTCTCTTTATCTTCACCCTTCATATTGGAAGCCAAACTGTAAACCTTTTCAGTGCCTTCTTTCATCTCCCTGGTCTACCCCCACCCCCACCTCTCCCCACCTGCAGTGCAGGTTTCTGTATGTGACAAGAGAGAAGGAGTGTCTGGTTCTGCTTGGGAGCTCAGAGCAGTGAAAACTGAGCCTGATCTCAAAGAATGAAGACGATTGGGAGCGGGGGTTGGATGGGCAAAGTACCAGCATTTCAGACAAAAGCAACATCATACCCAAAGGTCTTAGAAAGGGATTCGGACTCCCTTGACTTCTATATTAGCTTCCTCCAAGTCTACACAGAAGATGTGCAAAGAAAGCCTTTGAAGTCAGGTGCAAATAACTATGCTGATTTGAATCATGGGACTAGACATTGGTTTACTTCCATATATTGACTCATGAAAAAGTTTATAATCTCTGATTTATGTAATCACAGGAATGAAAAGTTTGTATATTATTATGTGAATGAAGTACTGATTTTAAAAGAAAAATATGTACTTTAGGAGTCTAAGGCTGTCCTTATATTTTAGAACTGAATTGCAAAACTAGTGGCCAAGAGAGTGGGAAAGCAACCACTGAGCAGTCCTGGGAGCTCATGTTCTCTCTCATAAGTGGCTGCTAACAAATGTGAACACAGTGACATAGAGAGTGGAATGACAGATGGTAGAGACTCAGAAGGGTGAAGGGGTCTGTACTGAGAAATTACTTAATGGGTACAATGTTCATTATTTGGGTGATGGATACCCTGAAAGCTTGACCACTGCATGATCTACGCATGTAGCAGCATTGCACTTGTACCCTATAAGTTTATACAAATTTAAATAAATAAATAATAGGTCTACTTGGTACATAAACATTCCATTACAAAACAAAAATTGCTTTTATTTTGAGCAACAAAAAATAATGTACAGCTGGAGCAGTGGCTCATGCCTATAATCCCAGCACTTTGGGAGGCTGAGGTAGGTGGATTACCTGAGGTCAGGAGTTGGTGACCAGCCTGACCCACATGGTGAAAACCCATTTCTATTGAAAAAAAATACAAAATTAGCCAGGTGTGCACATGCCTGTAATCCCAGTTACTTGGGTGGCTGAGGCAGGAGAATCACTTGAACACAGGAGGTGGAGGTTGCAGTGAACCAAGATCGTGCCATTGAACTCCGGCCTGGACAACAAGAGTGAAAATCCATCTAAGTAAATAAATAATAAAATAATGTGCACATAGTTGTAAATTGCATATTAAGAAGGATAAACACAAAAGATAAGAATATATTTTAAGAAAAAGCTAACTAACCTGTTGGAGGAATCGCTATGGGAAGTATATATGAGCACTCCCCTTGCAGGTTATGAATTTACTGCCTAGGGTCCAAATTCATTCTTTTCATAGACTGAGTGTTTAAAATATTTTTCCTTTGCCAGGTGGCACGATGTTTGGCTTTGTCAGTAGATGGCGACAGAGAAACGTCTCAGGAAAAAAGTATTCCTCCAGTTCTGCGGCACAGGTGAATGCTTCTGCACCAGCCTGCTGTGTTTGTTTTATTTTTAATGGAAAATTTTAAGAGCCCCACATCTTAATAAAAAAAAAATAAATGCAACAAAGATGCCTTTGAAATTCAAAGTGAGAAGAAGAAAGAGAACAAGATAAGGAAAAAAAACATAAGTCCATTGGGATAAAAGCAAGGGTAAGGGAAATGTGAGCATTACTCTACAAATCAGGATGCATTCTACAATTTGGAAAGTAGTAGGGTTTTCCCACATGATACCAACTCAGCCTTTCAGGCCAAGGAGGGACTACTAAAAATAAGACAGAAATGTAAATCAGCACACACCCACCTGAACGATCAGTGTGAAATCTTGGAGTGAATGAAATTACCAGACTCAAGCATGATTTGTCTGTGAATACTACAACATGGCAGAGTCTGTGTCTGCTTCAATTCATACACCTAGACCCAAACACATGTGTTTATTACCTGCTTTGGATCTCTTATCTATCAATCTATCCATATACACATTAAGATAAGTGACCTGACCCTCCAAATCCCCAATAGATTACATTAATAGGTAGGAACACTGGCATATGGAAGCCAAAGATAGATGTTGTACCTGGCTCAAAATGCCTTCTCCACCTACCTCCACCATTCCTGATTCACCTGAATTTCCAGTACTAAAAACTTAATGACTGGATTAGGTTAAAAAAAAAAAAAACCGGCACTGATATGGATGTCAGTTGTTAAAAGTTATCTTTGTCTGCTTAACAATATGTCCTGAGGATTGCACCATCTATGTTCATACAGATTTTCCTTGTTGTTTTTCCTACACCTGCATGGTACTGCATTGTGTGTATGTATTAATACTATAGTTTCTTCAAACACCCTTCTATATTTGCATATTTAGTAAGTTACCAGTATTTTGTGATTGCAAATTATGTTGCAATAAGCAATCTTGCAAATACGTTTCTTCAGGCTAAAGTGGAATTGCTGAACCAAAGAATAAATGCATATATGGTTTTGTTAATTATTGCCAAATTTCCTTTTAAATGGCTATAGCATTTCACATTATGAAAATACCTATTTTTGGCCAGGCACAGTGGCTCATGCCTGTAATCCTAGCACTTTGGGAGACCCAGGCTGAAGGATCAAGGAGTTTGAGACTAGCCTGAGCAACATAGTGAGACCCCCTTCTCTACAAAAATAGTTTAAATTAGCAAGGCATGGCGGTATGAGCCTGTAGTCCCAACTACTTGGGAGGCTGAGGCAAGGGGATCACTTGAGCCTGGGAGCTTGAAGCTACAGTGAACCGTGATCACACCACTTCACTCCAGTCTGGATGACAAAGTGAGACTCTGTCATAATTTAAAAAGAAAAAAAACTGTTTTTCCACAGTCTGACCAAGAAATTGTATTGTTAAGCTTTTGAATTTTTGCCAGTTTAAACTGAGACATGCTGCATAGATTTCCAGAAATATCATGGAGATCTGTCTATAGTAGTGGATACATTTTTAAAGGAAGAAATCATTTGCTTTTTGCACAGATGTGTACAATTCTTAAGAGCATCTATCTTCAAATGTTCTCTTATTTGGCACTCTTCAGAGGTAGCATCTCTCTCACACAGCCAATAAAGCTGTGTGGCCAGTGGATGTCACTCAAGTGCTACTTTAAAAGATAGATTCTAGTACATCTGCTTCTATATTTCAGGACAGTAACTCTCTTTTAAAATCCACTTGATGTGTTCATTAGATAAATGAGGCAAAATATTTCCAGGGTTAAGTCCTGTTTTATTTTTGTATGAACCTGGCTTTGTAAAGCTAAAGTCCTTTTTTAAAAGCCCACTACTAATAGGGTTAGTGAAGGAGCTTTTTGAAAGGATAAAGAAAACCAATTCAGCATGTTCTGATTTAAACAAAGTGTGTGATGGTTTTGATCTGATAACTAAAATTATCTAAATTGGGAACAAAATTCATGGCTATGAGAACTAAACCAATCATGGGGCTCTTTGATATCTGTAAATATTAACAGCTTGTCATTTTTATCCTTTGATGAAATGTCCTACATAGACCCATAGAACAAGAGAAAGGCTCTACCTGCACTTCTGCGGACCCCTCTCTAGCCAAGGGCAATGTCATTTTCACTTAGAACAGTCTCCAATCATGAAACGCAAATATCTTAGCTAAGCTCTTACAGTCCTCCTAATACAACTTTCAAAAAAATGAGCTTTAAAAGAATTCTGAAAGCATTCATGCATTAAGAGAAAAAAATATGAGGGCCAGATAAAACTTAATTAGTTCATGAATTAAAGGACAGAAAATCTAAGGTATTAAACTGTACATATTTAATTTTCTTTAGTTTATTTCAAAAAGCAGGCAATTTTCAAATCAGAAAGAAAGGCTAAGTTCACAGATTACAGCTGTTATTTGTCATTATTGTCACTCATGACATTTGTTATTAAAATTAAATATCATATAAATAATATTTTAAATAGATGTTTAAACAGTAGAGTCTCAGCAGAAAAACATTAGTATACATCAAAAAAAGTTTTAAGAGTCTTAACAAAAACCACAAACATTTAATTGAGAATAACCAAACTTCCCATTCTGGTATAAGTTCACTTTTATTAAACATGAGCATGACTAATAAAACTGATGACAAAATATACACATTGAGTCATTATGTCAACAGTTAAATTTATCCTTATGATACCCTTGCCAGGGTTAGCTAAGAAACTATATCCATTCTAAATTTTTCTCTCTGCACTGTGGAAGTTCTGCCACATGTTACTACTCATTGGCACAGGCCTGTGTGGGTTGTACAGCCCTCATTCCAGTTGTAAGATGGCCCTGAGTTCTTGGTTATGCTCTTCTTCCAAGGTCACCTCAAGTGCAGTCTTCACAAGGGAGTTCCTGGAAGTCCCTCTTCCTTCCAATGTGCTTGCTTAATGTTTGTTTCTAATTGCTTATAACCATATGTCTGATCTGTTGATGTGTTTGTGAGACCCTGCGGCTACTGTTTGTTTCTAATTTGAGCATTTTACATTTTCTGGCTTTGTTTCTCTATTATAGAGGGAAGGATTCTGAAGTTTTCTCTGTGAATATTAGACTGTTTGTTAAAGGGAAGAATAAATTGTATGGATGGTAGAGGCTTGGAAGAGTTACCACATCATTTCCTTCCATTTCACTGAGTCTTCCTAGCAATCTTGAATGTAGGAGTTGCCCAGATAAATCACTCATAATTATTTGAGAGGAATAATATTTTGCCTAGAATTTTGGTAACTTTTCAAACCTGAAATTGAAAATCAGTTAAGATTTCCTAAAAGACTCATTGCCATTATAGTCTGTTGCCACACTGCAATTATTATATATCTTTCATACACATAATTTTATACTAAATGCACATAGATAGTAGTAATAGTAAACACTATTATCGTCTACTGCTCTGGTTTCCTTCATTATAGTTTTGCTCTCCTAGATTTTCACATAAGTGAATTCATAGAATATGTAGTCTTTTGTGGTTGTCTTCTTTCACTTAGCAAAACACATTTGAAATTCATCAATGAATTTCATAATGAATCTTGTATATACCAGTAGTTTGTTTTTATTGTTGAGTACGATTTCACTCAATGGGTATAGAACAATTTGTCCATTCACCTGTTGATGAACACTTGAGTTTCTTCCAGTTTGGGCTACTATGAATAAAACTGCTGTCTTAGTCCTTTCAGGCTGCTATAATAAAAGACCTTAGACTGTAATTGATAAACAGCAACTTACTGCTCAGAGTTCTGGGAACTGTGAAATTTAAAATCAAAGCACCAGCAGATTCAATATCTAGTGAGGGCTCCTTCTCTGCCTCATAGATCGCACCTTCTTGTGTCCTCACATGACAAAAGGGTGAACAGGCTCCCTCCATCCTCTTCTATAAAGGCACTAATCCCATTCATGAGCGCTCCACTCTCATGACCTAATGACCTCCTAAAAGCTATACTTCTTAATACTATTGCATTGGGCAATAGGTTTCAGCATATGAATTTGAGGAGGGATAAAAACATTCAGACTATAGCAGCTGCTAAAGCTATTCATGTACAGTCTTCTTGAGAACTTACGTGTTTATTTTTCTTGAGTTAATACCAGCGAATAGGATTACTAAATTGCGTGATTATTTTTCAAGATTGTTTTAGCTATTTTAAGGTCTCTTACATTTCCATATGAATTTTAGGATCAACTTGTCAGTTTCTGTAAGTATATGTTTAACTTTTTAAGAAACTGCCAACTGCCATGGAAACTGGCTTTGGCTTTTTGCATTCCCACTAGTTGCTCTATATCCTCATCGATATTATATTGTCACCTTTTAAAAATTTTTATTTTAGCCATTCTAATAGGTATATAGTAGTATCTCATGGGAGTTTTACTTTGTATTTCTCCAATGACTGATAATGTTGGTAGTTATAAACCCTCTTTTATTCTTGAGTTTTAGTCATATGAGTCTTCTTTTTGTTGTTATTATTGTTGGTCAACCTGGATAAAACTTTGTCAATTTTGTTGATTCAAGAACCAACTTTCGGTTTTGTTGATTTTCTCTATGGTTTTTCTGTTCCCTATCCCATTTATTTACATGCTAACTTTTATTGTTTCCCTCTTTCTTCTTGCCTTGGGTTTTACTTCCTGAAGATTTATTTCCTGAGACATAAAATTAGGTTATTGATAAAGTATTTTTTTTCTTTTTAAGCATAGGCATTTAGAGTTACAAATTTTCCTCTAAGCATTGCTTTAGTTGCATCATATAAATGTTAGTGTTCTGTTTTGTTTTTATTCATTTCAAAACATTTCCTAATTTCCCTTGTGACTTATTATTTGACCCATTCATTATTTAGAAATGTTTTCTTTAATTTCCATATATTTATGAATCCTAAATTTTCTTCTGTTATTTCTGATCAGAAGACATACTCTATATGATTTAAATCCTTTTCAGTTCATTGAGGCTTTCCTTGTGACCTACCATACAGTCTGTTGTAGAGAATGTTCCATGTGTGCTTGAGAAGAATGAGTATTCTGCTGTTGTTGGGTAGAGTGTTGAATAGTTATCTGTTAGGTCTCTTTGATTTACAGTTCTGAGAGATTTTCAAGTCTTCTCATCCTTCCTGATTTTATGCCTAGCTCTTCTATCCATTATTGCAAGTAGGGTACTAAAGAATCCAATTACCTTATTGAATTATTTATCTCTCCCTTTATTTCTGTCAGTGACTCATACTACCATTCCAGAAACCTCATCTTCTATTCTTGAAGATTTTATGTTTATAATTTTAATGAAGTCCAATTAACCTTTTTTTTCCTTTTATTGTTTCTGTTTTCTTATCTAAGACAGTCTTTCCTAACTTAAGGTCACAAAACTTCTCCCTTGTGCTTTGTAAGTTTTACGATTTTAGCTTCTATATTTAATTGCATGATCCAGTTAACTTTGTAGATGGTATGACTAAGGGACAAGGTTAATTTTTTTTAGACACCAGCTGCTCCTGTATCATTTGTTCGAGATACAATCTTTTCTCCCTCTGAATTGCCTTAGTACAAATGTAAAAAATTAATTGAAAATATATTTATGGGTCTATTTCTAGGCTCTCTATTGTATCCGTTGGTCTTTGTGTCAATCCTTATGCTAATACCATATTGTCTTAATTAATGTAGCTTTTTTGTCCATCTCAAAATTAGGTATATAAATTCTCCCACTTTGTTCTCCTTCCTCAAAAACTGTTTTGACTATTCTATATCCTTTGTCATGTCATATATATTTTTTTAGAATAAGCTCTTTAAATTCTACAGAGGAGGTTTACAATATATGAATATAATTAAATTCAAACTGAAATTACAGATGGGGTGGCTGAAATAATTAACTTGGAATCAAGCCTCCATCCTTTATGTAAGGTTCTGTATGTGGACTTAGTAAGAATGAAGAATCATAGTATTGTGGTATAGTGGAGGGAAAAAATCTGAAGTCCTTGCTTGGTACTTGGTTCTGACATGCCATCATTAACGTCCCTGAGTCTTGATTTCTGCCACTGTAAAATAGAATACATGATGTTATTCATTGTTTTCTGGTTACAAATGATCCCAAAATTTAGTGGTTTTAAACAATAACCAATGGAGACTATGTAGAAGAAAAGCACTGTACAACTTGGTGAGCCTTGTGAAAACATAAGGGATTATGGGATTTCAAGATGAGCCTGGCCACATGGCAAACTGCATCTCTACTAAAAATACAAAAATTAGCCAGGCATCATAGTACACGCCTGTAATCCCAACTTCCTGGGAAGCTGAGGCAGGAAAATCTTTTGAACCCAGGGGGGCGGGGGTTGCAGTGAGCTGAGATCACACCATTACACTCCCGCCTGGCTGACAAAAACATGTAAGTAACACTTTCCCTTATTCACTTGAGTTCCAAGACAGAGGAGTTAAGAGAGATGGAGATCCAATTGATAGACTAAGGCAGTACACTAAATGTGCTTATGGGCAGAAAAGACTTACACAGCATGCCTAAGCTGCTATCCTTGAAAAGACCAGCTTGCAAGGCTAGCCTTTGGCATCTGGAAATTTAGATTTTGGGGAGGATTCACTCCATTAGTAGATAAGAGTGGCTCACTGTGCCTGAAACATTTGTACAAATAATATGGTTTATGCTGACCACCTGCTTTCCTTCTGGGAGCCTGAAATTTGGGTGTGTGCTAGATAGAAAGTGCTATGTCATCACCCCCAGTGGAAACCTTCTAATGAGCTTCTCTGGTTGGCGGCATTTCATACATACTGTCACAGCTTATTGCTGGGGGAGATAAGGGTGTCCTGTGTGACTCAACTAGGATAGGACCCTTAGAAGCTTGTACCTTGTTTCCTCCAGACTTCAGTCCATGTGCCTTTTTCCTTGACTGATTTTGCTGTGTATCCTTTCTCAGTCATAAATCATAATCCTGAGTATGACTTATGCTGAGTCCTATGAGTCCTCCTAGAGAATCACTGAACCTGGGAATGGCCTTGGAGACTGACACAGCCTGCTAACATGCTCCCTAAAATAAACCAACCCCAAACAGCAGACCTCCTGTTGAGGTTATTTAAAGAGAAATTGCCTTTGTCAAACTTTTCATTTATTTTTGAAAACAAACATAAACCCACATACAATATCTTAAGAACAGTAGCAAGAAACACATTGGCTAGTCAAAGAAAGGCAATACAAATGTGTACCTTTGGCCCATGCAGATTTCATTTTTCCATGATTCTGGGCTTACCATACACACACAAGGTGAATACAATAAATGCTCATAAATGAATACACATTTGGCACATGCAAAATAACCATGGTATATTTTCCAACATTTTTCATATTTTTTTCCTCAAATGTTTACTAAAATACTCTTAAATTAGCATTAGGGAATTTTGGTGGTTCTTTTAATCATGCTGCCAACCACCTCATAATTGAACTAGGTGCTTTTTTGTCCAAACTTGCTCTAACACTGTCGAAAGATAAATATTCATCACTCATGACCACAGACTTATAATTATAAATAATCTTGCCCTGTTAAAAAAATTACTTAAAATTTAGACTTATTTTGATTTATATTGAAGTATTTCTTGAATTAGTCAAATTCTGCCACCCTAGTTGTAACTATCCTGGTGAAACAAGCATGAGGCAGATTCCACATAAAACTAAAAAGACTTCAAGGGAATTACGCTGAGTGGAAAAAAGAAAAGTCAATCTCAAAAGGTTACACACTATGTGATTCCATTTACATAGCATTCTTGAAATAACAAAGTTATAAAGATGGAAAACAGATTCATGGTTGCTGGAGTTGGAGATGGGGAGAAGAAAGTGGATATAAAATATAAACAGAATATGATTATTAATCAGGAGTGTATACAAATGAAATCCTATATATCATTTCTTTTCCAAATATTTATCTTTATACATTTGATTCTTTTCATTTTCAACCACGTACAGTTTTCACCTTGAAGGTGACCTTGATGAGTCAAAATATAATATCTTTAATACATGAGTTAAATCTAAGATGATGTTCAAATGGACTGCAGGTAACTGTTTATGTCAATAACAAATACAATAGATTACTTTTAAAATCCATACTTTGGACTTCTTATTACAGATGCAATTGCTGACTTACCATAAATCAATGTGCTTAAAGTGCCATATGATGTCAAATATTTAGCTTAACAACAGAAACTATAAAACATGTTTTATAGGTGCTGTAAAATTCTGGGGCTTGAGGTCCTGCTTTTTTGCATTACTCTGATCCATCAAGTTCCCTGGAAATTCTAGATACTCAATATACTTGGGAATCGAAAATTGGCTTTCAGAATTTTACTCATTTAGGTTATTATGACCTCCAGGACAGCATCCTCTGTTTCCTAATGTGAGGAGAGCACAAGGAGAGAAGCACAGGCTAGTACAGGACCAACAGAGAGCTTAAAAACTTTATATCCTTTCTAATTCTCTTCTGTCAATAACCCATCCTGCTGTGTCTGGTCACCCAACAAAAAAGAAATGGGTCCCTTTAACACCTGAAAAGAAACTAATTGATAAGGCAAGATGGTAGTCATTTTTTATCTTAAAATATTTGTCTCTCATTTGGAAACATTCATCCCACAAACCGACTTACTGCTCTGAGTTAAGCACTGTTCTGTGGTTCAGAAATGGACAACACAGGATAGAGGCAATGAGGACATAAAAATGGAGAGAAGTGGGCAGATGTGAGGGGTCTGTAGGAGATGGAGGCGATCATATAAGATGATGGAAAAGGATGAGAAAAAGAGAGGAGGTGAAGATAACACCCAGCTTCTTGGCTTGACAGCTGAGTAGATGGTGGTGCTGTTTCCTGAGATGGAGTATGGAGAAGAGCCAGGGGCAGGGAGAAAGGGCAGATACATTGAATTTGAGACATCAGTGGGTCTTCTAAGTGGAAATTTCCAGTAGCAATTGGTTATATGGATATGGAGCTCAAGACTAGAAGGTAAATTTTAGAAGTTAATTGTGCTAAACATGACTGATTTCTTACCACAAATCATAACATTCCAAAATATTACTTTCTTGCTACCAAAACTTACTAAAGGATTAAAATACCATAAACTAATTTTCCTGGTCCTTGCAGCCAGGACCTGTGACCTGATTCTGAGAAAACAGCTTCGTAGAAGTCTGATAAGGAGGTTTTGAAATGCTCTCCTTCCTGATGAAAAGAACTGTGAAGAGGAAAGTGCTATTTTTTTTTCCATCTCGGACATAGTTGTGTGAAGTGTGATGCCTGGAGTTATGACAGCCATCTTGCAATCATGAGAAGATAAGGCTGTGGATGAACACCGACATACCAAGAATGGTTGCATTAAAAGATGAAAGGAGCCTGGGTCTTGAATATCAACACTGAACACTTCATCAGTTCTCAAACAGCCCTGCCTCTGGACTCTTGTCATGTGAGATTACTAATATCCTCATTATTTAAGCTACATTAGTAGTTGGATTTCTTGTCACGTGTAGCTGAAAATATCCTAATACATCAACAAATAAATGAGTAAATAATAAAATTTTTAATTAAAAAGAAAAATTGAGCTCTATACATATTGTATGCATGTACCAAAAATATCACTTGTACTCTATAAATATATACAACTGTTACAGATCCATTTTTTAAACATACAAATTTGAACCTTTTTTTCTATTTATGTTTCTGCCAGCAGGAAGTCCAAATCGAACTCTCTTTGTGTCTATTTGCGTCTGTTTTTTAAATAACCTGATTAAATTAAACCTTATGAGAATTTTTTTTTAAAAAAGAAAGAAAGAAATGACTAAATAGAAAATGGAATTAGAGGGTACAAACCTCGGAAAAGAGATCCAAAAGACTGAATGTAACTAGAAATGGCAGGAGAGACAAAAGATATATTCTGAGGAGAAACAGAAAGGGTGACAGCAAACATGCCAGAACATGTGAAGGTGATATTCCACAGGAGGTGGGTAAGGGTAAGCTAGAAGGAGTTGGGAATATCAGGTTTAGAAACACATAAGTAAAAAATCCTCCTCTAAAATAAAAAAGAGGCAGGGCACGGTGGCTCACACTTGTAATCCCAGCACTATGGGAGGCTGAGGCAAGTGGATCATTCAAGATCAGGAGTTCAAGACCAGTCTGGCCAACATAGTAAAACCCCCTCTCTACCAAAAATACAAAAATTAGCCAGGCATGGTAGTACTTGCCTGTAATCCCAGCTACTCGGGAGGCTGAAGCACAAGAATCACTTGAACCTAGGAGGCGGAGGTTGCAGTGAGCCAAGATGGCGCCACTATATGCTAGTCTGGGTGACAGAGTGAGACCCTGTCTCAAAAAATAAATAAAATTAAAAAGCCAGGAAAAGGAAAGATGACAGAATAGGTATCAGATAATACCAATTTATTTTACTAAAATCATCCAAAGGATTACAGAAAATTAAGCAATTAAATAGTGAGGCTTAATTTTGACTTCAGAATGTCAATAGCATGACTTCTTCTCACAGGATAGAAGTATCTGTAAGTGTAATAAAATTGATAAACTTGGCTACATTTGGAGCCAAGGAATTTTTACTATACAGTATTTAGAATAACTGACAGTTATTTCTACAGTATTTAGAAATAACTAATTATTTCTCTTTTCCATTGTTGAAAATGCAGCCCCTTCCATTATAAAATCATGTATCTCATGGATACCTTCATATAATGTGATTCTCCATGTCTATTTATCTCTATTTATCCTTCCAGCCCATTCATTGCTAAGCTCAAACCATCTACTGTTCACCTGTGCACTTGGAGAATCTGTTACTTTTCCTCTTCAATTGATGGAACCCAGAACTAAAGGAAGCCAGAGATTCGCACTGAAGAAATGGAAACAGACAGTAATGAAGCCTATTCTATTTTACTCCTTAGTGTTAATCAAAAAATAGTTTGTTAATCAAAAAAAAGTAAGACAAAAGGAATAAACCCAAATGTATTAGTAGAAATAAACCCAAATGTATTAGTCATTAATATAAGTTAACTAAATAACCCAAGTAAAAAGCCAAGACTGTAATACTGGTTAAAAATACATGTTGCTTACAACAACCACATTTTAAACATAAGAAATAGATTGAATATGGGACGACAGAAATATAGTCAACATGTAAATGTTCACTACAAGGGAGCTGAGGTAGTTATCCTAATATCAGACAGAGGGGACTGGAAGGCAAGAAGTGTTCTCAAACATAAAGAGGGGTACTTTATTATGATCAGGACTCAATCCAACAGAAAGATATCACAGTCCTAAATCCTAACACACTCAATAACATAGCTTCAAAATTCAAAAAGTAAGAAATTGACAGATCTAAATTCCACTGAGGTTGGGAAGCCAACGCGGGTGGATCACTTGAGGTCAGGAGTTTGAGACCAGCCTGGCCAACATGGTGAAATCTGTCTCTACTGAAGTTACAAAAAAAAAAAATTAACTGGGCTTGGTGGCGCATGCCTGTAATCCCAGCTTGCCAGGAGGCTGAAGCAGGAGAATCACTTGAATCTGGGAGGCAGAGGTTGCAGTGAGCTGAAATCGTGCCATTTCACTCCAGCCTGGGCAACAGAGCAACACTCCATCTCAAAAATAAATAAATAAATTCCACTGAGAGAAGTCACTGATAGAATTCAAGATAAGTCTGAAGAGTGAAACCCTATTAATTCTGAACTCATTATCACACAGCTCCCGAAATGTGAATCCTGATCAGTGTTAAGTTGTCTCAGGGACTCAAATGGGGGCACCAGTTTGATGGGTAGCCTTGTCTGGCCCACTAAATCTCTTGCTCAGTGAGATCTCTAGAAAATATCTCCAGCACTTCATTTAAAGCCTTATGTGTATATTATATCCTTTTTTTTATTGCATTTTAGGTTTTGGGGTACATGTGCAGAACATGCAAGATAGTTGCATAGGTACACACATGGCAGTGTGTTTTGCTGCCTTCCTCCCCTCCACCCATATTTGGCATTTCTCCCCAGGCTAACCCTCCCCAGCTCCCCTCCCCCTGCTGTCCCTCCCCCATTCCCCTCAATAGACCCCAGTGTGTAGTACTCCCTTCCCTGTGTCCATGTGTTCTCATTTTTCAGCACCCGCCTAAGAGTGAGAATATGCGGTATTATACCCTTAAGTAAGAAATGATGCAGCCCATCTGCATTTTTCTAAATGAATTCCAATCAGGGTCAGCAGGACACCAGGGCCCTGTCCCAGACTTGGGATCTACCAGCTCCTGTTCTTGTCAAAAAATAAACATATCTGGCAGTTGCATCTTGGAACCTGGCAGCTCAGTAGTCCTCATCAGAAACTTAGGACAGCAAAGTGCTCCAGGATTATGGTCCAAAGGGTCATAAACATGTAGAAAATTTTAAAACACTGGTTTCCTCCCCAGCAAGGAGCACGTCACTCAGTTCAGCTGTGTCATCAGTAATGTCTACTCCAAAGACTACTGTTTCAAGAGGACCATTTCTCTTTCTCTATTCTGTCTGCACAGCAGGCCAGTGCCTGCCCCCACAACACTCACAGCCCACTCTCAAATCTCAGGCCATAATCTCTGCATTAGACTCACTTTCTTTAGAAACAGATCACTCTAGGCTGGGTGCAGTGGTTCACACCTATAATCCCAGAACTTTGGGAGGCCGAGACAGGAGGATCACAAGGTCAGGCGTTTGAGACCAGCCTGGCTGACATGGTGAAACCCCATCTCTACTAAAAAAAAAAAATACAAAAAAATCAGCTGAGCATGGTGGCGTGCACCTGTAATCCCAGCTACTCAGGAGGCTGAGGCAGGAGAATCTCTTGAAAACCCGGGAACGGAGGTTGCGGTGAGCTGAAATAGTGCCACTGTACTCCAGCCTGGGTGACAGAACGAGACTCTATCACACACACAAAAAAAAGAAAAAAGAAAGAAAGAAACAGATCACTCTGCTACATTTGCTCAGCTTTAACCTTCAATTTCAAGTTTGCTTCAGAACCCAAAACCCAGCAATATGCAGTGACTGTCTTTTCTTCTACTGCAAGCTTTGTCATCTAATTTATACCACAGGAAGAAAATAGACAGGTCAAGTTTGGTTACTCTCAAATTTTCTAATTATCTTTAAGACTGCTGTGGGTGATTGAGGGACTCTGGAATGTCATGGGACATTCATACATGTAATAGCTTACTGTAAGTTACCAGTTGTGAAATATATCACTTTCTTATTCTTAACATTTTCTTTTATTAAAAAGAAAGAGTCAACAAATTTAGCACTTGATGGGTTCCCTTAAATGTGAATAGCCAGCTACCTTTAGAAATCTAAAAGTAAAATGAAACTAATCAAATAGTTAGTGGTTTCTCTACTGGTGTTGGCCAAATTGGAAGAGACAGAGGACCTAGAAATTCATATCCTTCAATTCTTGAATAGGAGAAATTAAAGAAATATAGCTATCATTTAATCCAGCTTCTGTCTCTTACAATAGTGAATTGAGTGGCTTGTGTAAACCAAATGTTCTAGACCTCAGAAGCTCTAGACACACAAATCAGGCCCCACTTCCAGTCTGTAACACAGCCCCAGCCTGTAATGCTCCAACTTAGTTGGTCAAAAGAACTTAGTATTTTATCAGATTCTTCCCCCTCCCACCCAACCCGCCAAATATCTCCAGGGAACCCAGAATGTTCACAATCCACACACCCTCCTGACAGCCACAACTGCCCCCAAGCCTGTCCTGCAGTCTTCCCACACTTCCCCAGGCCCCTCTCCCCAGCCCTGGCCTCTTTCCACTTCCTGGGTTCCTCTTGTGCTGCTTCTCTCAGACCGAGACACAAACCCAACCAGAGTTGTGTGGGAAGATCCCAAGGCCCTTCCTAATGCCACCCTGGAGGGTACTGGGATGCATGGGGGTGGTCATGCCCCTGCCTCTTGTTCCTTATATCACTTCTTTCCCTGGTGAACATGATCCTTTTTTCCCTTTAGTCCCCAAACCCCCCTGTACAAATTCGCCAGATATGGCGGGCTGTCCATGAAGTTTTCAGGTTACACAGAGGAAGTAGAGCCAACCCACCAGAGAACAACCTTGAGGTAGAATAGGGTCTGAAGGCAGGGAACCTAAGGCTGTTTCACACTGACTTGATAGAATTGAAAGGAAAATCCTAACTTTGCACACCTAAGTAACAAAAGGACCAGAGGCTATACTCCCTTTGCAAACCCCACCTTCTCTGCAGGGCAGATGGGAAATTGAAAGTACCTCTGATTGGTGCCAAGCAACCAATCAGATGTTTGCATAGGAGTGCAACTTGGTAACTTCACTTCAGCCTCTGATTGGTTGCTGTCCACAGCCAATCAGACTCATTGCAGGCCAAGTCTTCGTTTGCACAGAAGTGCAACTTTGTAACTTCACTTTAGCATCTGATGCTAGTGAATCTTAGGAGTTTGCATAGGAGTGTGACCTTTGTAATTTCAGTTCAGCCTCTAAGTGGAAAGCCACCAATCAGACTGATTGCAGGCCACCACTTCATTTACATTGGGTAAACACCAGGTGGCCAGTAGGAAACCTCTAGGAGGTATTTGGACCTCAGAAGATTCTGTATCAGGGCTCTTGAGTCCCTATGCTCAGGCCGCCCTCATAGAGTGTACTTTCACTTTCAATAAATCTCTGCTTTTGTTGCTTCATTCTTTCCTTGCTTTATGTGTTTTGCCCAATTCTTAATTATTTGTTCAAGATGTCAAGAACCTGGACACCCTCCACCAGTAACAACTTGAAACTGAAAACTAGTAATCATTGTTCTTAAAAGGTCCTTGGCCATCCAAGCCCTGGGGGTTTTCTGCTGTCAGTCCTGACCTCAGACTCATCCCACTACCACTCCCTGGGTCCTCCCCATCCCTCTGCTTCTGTCTCCATTTCTTCTCCTTTCCCAGGCTCTTTACCCCTCTCCAGAGCTACCCTGACATTTGTTTCATCTTCTTTTATTATACTGCATGGTTCAGCAATCTGAGTGTTACTGTCTCCTGCTCATCCTCACCTGTCTCCAAAAAGAACCAAAAACAAAAACCAATAGAGGCCCTTCAAGATACTCCAAAAACTTAAGAAAACAATTTTAATGCTATAAGACCCCAGAAAAATGATGCTCAACTCCTAGAAGACAAAAGCAGTAGTTTTTAATTTAAATAGCACTTTTCTCCTGGAAACGTGTACCATCTGGTTCTTGTCACACTATTGTGCTCCTTAACTCATTTCACTCAAAATTTCCAGCACCATGTATGAGGGACCCTGGTTACTCCTCACACATGCAGTTTCATAGCCACAGGAGACATGCGCGTGGGTGGGCAGAAGTGGAAGTTGTTTATGAGCATGGAGTTCTGAGAAATGAACGCATTGATGTTGGGATTTGAAATCTGATTTATCTCTTTGATGATCATGGGAGGAAATTTTATTATAACAATATTATTTGCTGGCATATGCATGGATGTCTGAACTCAGATGATAAAAAACAGAGGATTTTGAGCATTTTTGGGGAGGAAAAAACAAATTATACAATTAAAGATTTCTTACATGACCTAGAAAATGAAAGGGGAAGAAAATACACTAGAAGAAAGGAAAGTGGAGGAGGATCACATTACGCCTTCACACTTAATTAGAAGAACTTTCAACCAAAACACATAATTGGGTAACAAATACCAGGTAATTTTCTTTGATGGAATTTTTTTCACTTCATTTTCGTTGAACTGAAAAACATAATTTTTAAATATGGAAAATAACATTTTATGACTGAGTATTATCTTCAATGAATCTGGGTCAGCGGCTCATTTCAAGTTTTCAGTGCCTAGAGGATGATAATACTTAGTACTGTTTGCTGGTGATTTACAACACTCTGGCTTAAGAGCAGGAATATACATATTAAAAATCATGCTCTGCCTGAATCCAACAAGCAGATGCCCCACCTTCTTTTAAGGAAGAAAATGACAATAAAGAAAGGATAATAGAGTTCAAAGACTCTCAAATAGCATTTCCTAATGCTTACAAGTGCTAATATTGAGTAACAAAGCACCATTTCTATAAAGCTGGCCTTCCGCCACTCCCTCATGTGGTGGAAAGAAATCATTTTACTTTCCCATAATTCTATTACTTATGGGAAAGCAAGTTGACTTTGCCCAGCATTGATGCAAAAAGCATGACGCAGAGGTCAAGCCTGTAGTACTGCTGCTCACGAGAGCAGAAAGAGAAAACTTATTGGCACAATAGCAACCAAGTGTTCAATCTAAATGTTCTGTTTCTCGAGCTCCCAGGTAACTTAGCTTCACATTCTTTCCTTGTACAGGTCAACTCCATTTAGGCAGTATATAAGTATATAGAATGAGAGGCCAAAATCCCACATCTATGTAAGCAAAACTATCTCCCCCACCCCCACTGCCAATTCATAAAAATAACACCTGCCAGATTGAAACAGAATGCTATAAAGTCACCTTGACGAGATCAGTGGTTTTCAAGCCAAGAAAACTTGAATGTATGAAACCCCTTGAATGTATGTAAAAAGAATGTGTCACCCAGGGAATAACTGGCCAGTCACAGAAGCATGGAAAAGAAAAGGAAGACAACAGGGAACAGTGTTCATAAGGAGATGCAGGATGCTTTTTCAGAAACTTGGATTTGAAAGGAAAACAGGCAATATTAAAAAGGAACTTTTGGTCAATGGATAGAAGTGGATTAAATTAGGAGCTGTTTGCGCCTTATATTCTAAGGGGAAGGAAGCAATAGAAAGAGAGAGCAGTTGAAAATGTAAGGAAGAGAGGGAAGAACTGATGTTGGTGAGGGTGCATATTTAGAACACTGGCTGGGAAGAGTCCGCTGTGGGAGTCACACTGCTAATAAAAGTCCGGGACCTGGGGATTTTGGACCCAGGTGCAAATTGTGGTCTTGCCACCTTCTAGCAGAGGGACCTTGTCACCCTGATGGTGAAGAACAAGCATATAACAGAAGAAAGGGAGGATGAGAACTGAGAGTCTGTGATAAGAGAGCTGCATTTATCAGCAGTGCAGGAAGTCTGGCTCTTGACATGGTTCTTGGTGAGCTCAACGTTGCTGGCTGCTGGAAGAGTAGAGGAGATCTTCAGCCTCAGAAATACCACTGGCCTCTGATGGAAGAGACTTTTATAGATGGTCTCAGGGCCTAATGAATGCTGAACAATTCATCCATCCTTTCAGTGAACATGACAGACGCCTCTCACTTAGTTAGACATTTTGGGAGACAGAGGTAAAAATTACAGCTAAACGAGCTCACAGCCCTATACTAGAGATGAACAGGAACCAGTATGTGACAGTTTGGACTAATAAACCCAACAAAAGAGGGACATACAGGACATTGTGGGATCCCTAAAGGGAGCACCTTGTGCAGAGGTAGAAGGATGGGAATGAATGACAGGTGGTGGATTACAGGAAGAGAGGGAAGCACTGTGGGAGTCTCTGCAGAGTGTTCACAGCAGGTGTGAGGCTTACTGTGCAGAAACCAACAGGGGCAGGTGAGAAATGCTGACCCCGAGGGACAAGCAGGCTCATGTCAGGGTGCTACAAAAATCCCCTCCTCTTTACTCTTTCCTGCACCCCAGACCCCAATTCTTACACTTGGTTGTCTCCCCAGTGGCCTGGCCTGTACCCTGAATGCTCCCAATTCAGTATCTTCTAACACTAGTCAAAAATGACCCCTTCCCTTCAGCTAGCCATTAGAATTGAAATGAATTCCCACCACCATGTGAAAATCTAATTATCCTACTGTTCCCACGGCACCAGCCTTTGAGTGGGATGCTTGCTGCAGTAGATTGTATTTTCCAAAAATGGCCACAAAATGGTTCTGATTCCACATGCTCATCCAGAAACTTTCTACTCCCTCATTAAGAGATAGAATCTATTTCCCTCCCCTTGAAATTGGGCTGCCTTTGTGACGTCAATAAAAAAAGCTGCTTGGAACCCCCACCCACAGCTCTTACCTCCCCTGATCCATGAGCACACCCCTCTGGGGTTATATTCTCTCCCATTGCCTTCCTGACTTGGGACTTTGACACTGGAGTTCACTCCCTCTGAGGACATAAATCCCCACTGCACTCTTTAGTCCCTGAGCTCCAGCCACCGCCCCCTCCCCAGACTTCCCTGTGTTCTGCCACCTCTTTGGGATCCGTGTAATCTGCCTCCAGTGGTTTCTGGGAGTGAACGCAGCTATCTTGCTGAGGGTAAGGTAGGGGATAGATGCAACAATGGGCTGATTGTTATTAAAAAAGGGTGGCAAGATGTTATCTTGAGATATTAATCTGTGGGTTTTTCTTTGCTCATTTCCTTGAACAGTGACCAAACAGCCTCATGCAAGAGTACAGTTGATAAAGAGGGACTGAAAAAAGCCAAAAATGTCAACATTCAGATTTGTGACTCTAAAACAGCATCTTAGAATCAAAAAAGTGAGGTTTTGGGCATAAAGCACAGAGACATGTATGTGGACCAGGGATAGGGATAGACAGACAGCCCCAACCCAATGCCTCCGAGGAGACCAGAGTAAGGTTTGCTGGGCCAAGGGAGGGGAGGAGCACAAGGTGAGGAGCAGGTCCACACTGAAGTCTGGGGAGCACCTGGAGTCTTCCCCATCATCCTCAGCAGCCCTTCAGCTGGTTGCATATTCCCAGAGATGTTTGCCGAGCCCTGTCTACACACCCACACTCCTCTAAATGGACACACCCTCCCCACTCCAGTGTCTAAGGACTCTCATGAGCCCTGCAGATCTATTAGGAACACTTTCAGCTGTAAGCAACAAAAGATATGATTAACAGTGCCTTAAACACTACAGGTGTATTTTTTCACATAACAGGAAGGTTACATGTGGGTACTTTGTTGGTAAAAATGCAGTTTATCCAGGACCTAGTTCATGAGATTAGGATTCAACTAGTTCTGGAATCATCTCAAGGAATCTATAATTCTGAAAACTTCCTAGGTGATTCTAATTTGCAGTCAAATATGGAAGCCACTTATCCCCAAGTTGACTAAGGCTGCTGTCCTCTCCCCTCTTCTGAGTTTTCAGAGTCCATTAGCTTTCGGAGGGGTCAGCAGTGCTACAAGTGAAGCCCTGACTCATGTGTTCGCTGATGGTCAGCAGACTGTTATAGCTCACCTTTTACCTGGCAGCATCAGCTCCTTGAGGGTTATGAAGTGTGCTAGAGACATGAGAATTCAGCAACATTTTCAAACTGGGTAGAGTTTCCAGACTGTATTTCTAGTGTTGTTTTTTTTTTTTTCATTCAAGAAAGATGGGTTAACCAGCCAAGTTAACATGGTTGTTTCAGTCTGTTTTGGGTTGCTAAAACAGAATTCCTGAGACTAGATAATTTATAAACAATGATTTATTCGGCTCACATCTTGGAGGCTGGTGCTGGAATCTGGTGAGGGCTTTCTGGCTATGCCATCGTCTGGTGGAAGGTAGAAGGGAAAGAGAGAAAACGAGGCCAAAATCATTTTTTTATCAGGAACCCACCACCCCCAATAACCAACCCACTCCCAAGATAATGGCATTAAGACTGTCCTGTTGACCTCATTACCTCTTAAAGTTTCCACCTCTCAACATTGCTACATCAGGATGAAGTTTCCAACACATAAAACTTGGACACATTTAAACCATAACAATGATGGGCCAAACAGCTTCTTTTGCCTCTATTTCCACCCCCAAAATTCACTACAGTATAGAAATTTCGTTAAATGAAAAAAAAAAAAAAACAAATAAATAAACCATCTCAAGGACAAAGCTGAAAGAGAAAGCAACAAGTGTGGAGAGAGAGAGGTAAACACAATGTTGGAAACTGGAAAGCAGGTGGGAAATGGTGAATAACTTAGAGACCAGGCACAGGTTGCAGAGAGGAGGCAGGTGTATAACAGACTGGCCCCAGAGCACCTGGTAGGGATAGAATTGGAGGCCCCAGGAACCTCTCCAGTTGTGGAGTGTTGGTTAAGAGGCTAAATACAGCTTGATCCTTTGATCGCTTCTCCACTCCATCAGACAAACACCCCTCGCATCCAACAGAAGACATACCAGAGAAGGGGATGGGGGACAAGTCAGCACGCTGAATGGTGGGAACAGCCAGCAGCCTTTTGCCACAGCATCTGAGAATCCTGGTGGCCCAGCTTAGACACGTGGGACAGCAGGCTAGAAATTTCTTCTCTAGAGAAACCGAGGTCCTCAAAGAAAAGACTTACAGACAATGACTACCAAGATTATAATCAAACATACATATTCAGAGAAAGCCAAGACATGCTTTACTGGGAAGGTACTGGAGGATATATTCCACAAAACAAAGGGGCAAACCAGAAAAAGGGCCTACAACGGACTCGAGAGACAGGGATCCAACTAAGGAGAGCTGAGTGACACATCAGAAAAGGCCCGTAGGCTCCGGAGGGAATACAAATTAAAAAATCAGTTGATTACCTGATGTGTTTGAACTATTAATACTTCTGGCAATGAACTGAAGGAGAATTGGGGACAGAAAAATATCAAAACAAGATAATTTTGAACTCCAGTGAGAAGTTGTGTAACAAAGGACATATTATCAGGGTAGACCATGTGCCTTACTGGGGAAAACATTTATAATAATCACAACAGTGTTAACTTTGAGTAGCAACTTAATAAAAAACACAATATAATTACATCGGAGGAACAGGGGAACAAAAGTGCTAAATTTTTATCTTTCATAGGAGGAAGTCAAAGTTTCTGCCTAATCTGAAAAATCAATGCGGAAGCATGTTATTTAGATACCTGGGGAAACGTGCAGAACTTTCAACTAGCTGCACCAGTTGAAAGTGAAACTTTGGTTTCTCTGATGAGAACAGCTGGGTGGGAAATGGTAATGTCAAACCACAGGGAATTTTTCTAATAAACAAACTCCAGACATTTGTGATTCTTTTCCTCCTGGATTACTGGGTTCAGCCAAAGTCCTCCCTAGAGCATTAGCCAAGTGTAAGCTGTAAGGAAACAGTGAACTTCATTTGAACTTTGTTTCATCTTTTCTTTTTTTTAAGCCAAAAATGGCATAACAAATAAGAGACAGAGCAGATGCAGATATGTAGGGGTATTAGTGCGGAGGGTCTATCCCTTGAGCCTTTCTTACCAACACGAAGAACTGTGAGTGGCTTCTCTACTGACCCAGTGTACTGGGCATTTCCCACATGTTTGAATGAAAGAGTGAATGAACAACAGAGAAGCCCATTATTCTTCACACATCAAGAGTGCTTAACACACACTGGAACTACACTGCTTGGTGCCAGCACCTCTATCTGGTTCACTTGGTGTTTTAATGACCTGTTGTGTGTTGTTATATATGAAGTGGGCACCATTGATGTGCAAGGGATACACCCCATCTTCAAAGATATTACAATCCATTTCGGGAGGCAAAATATGAATAAAGGAAAATTTAAACCAGTGACCACAGACAGTTAAGTTGTGGGTAGAGTGGAAGGAGCTGTTTTGGGTCTGGAACCCACCCCCAGAATGTGGGCCTGGTGTGGAGTGGAAAGGCTTTCCCAACACTGGCTGCAAATTCTAGGGTATTTCCCATGTATGTGTTCATGCTGAGGATGGGAATATGGGAAGAGAACGTCATGCCAAGTGATGCTTGTTAACAAAAGTCAACAAAGACCAAAGGTGGTTGGCTTCTCACAAGCATTCTCATGTTCCCCTCAGTGCTTTAACTCTAAGGCAGAGAAATAGCCATTCTCTTTCCTTCTCTGCCAGGAGGGCAGTGGGAGGGGCACTGGCCAGCTGCCTGTCCTGCTCACTCACCGGGACTGCAGAAGTCAATTGATTCCCTACTTCCACCCCCACCACCAACCTTGGGTATTTCTTCCCACTGAGACAATTATCAAACCATTGTCCATCAGTAGCTGAGAAATCATTTCCTGATCTGGACTCCTCTTTGGGGGGTGTTTTCTAGTGCTGGAATTCTGTGTCTCCTCTCCTGTATCCTCAGTAAACCACCAGGCTCAGTGTCGGCCCCATTAGTTTATATCAGAGCAGCCCCTTCCTAGTTGTAGGAGGAGTATCCTGATGGCGGAGAACCCTTGGTCTCACTCTGCAATTGCTCAGACTTCCAAGAGTACAGTCTTCACTAAAGGCATTTCTTTAGCTCTTTGCTACTTTGCTTTTATTTACTCATAAAAATATCAGGACCGGGCGCGGTGGCTCATGCCTATAATCCCAGCACTTTGGGAGGCCGAAGTGGGTGGATCACGAGGTCAAGAGATCGAGACCATCCTAGTCAACTTGGTGAAACCCTATCTCTACTAAAAATACAAAAAATTAGCTGGGCATGGTGGCGCGTGCCTGTAATCCCAGCTACTCAGGAGGCTGAGGCAGGAGAATTGCCTGATCCCAGGAGGCGGAGGTTGTGGTGAGCCGAGATCGTGCCACTGGACTCCAGCCTGGGTAACAAGAGTGAAACTCCATCTCAAAAAAAAAAAAAAAAATGTATATATATATATCTCAGGAGGTGCAATATACATGCAGTTTTGTAAATATTCCTTTTTAGCAAAATGCATACTCTTGGCATCTCAACCTCCCTGACTTTGGGAAATAGGATAACTATAAGAGGAGCGCAGTCTTTAAAAGGCTCTTGCACTCTGTGGCACAGTTACTTCCGGAGACTTGGCTGCTTGTGTGCATTTTGGAGTTAGTTCAGCTCTGACTACATGCATCTAGAACAGATGCACACAGGAGACCCTCAAAAAATATTTTTAAAAGATAAAAATTAGGCCAGGTGCGGTGGCTCACACCTGCAATCCCAGCACTTCGAGAGGCCAAGGTGGGCAGATCACAAGGTCAGGAGTTGAGACCAGCCTGGCCAACATGGTGAAACCCTGTCTTTACTAAAAATACAAAAATTATCCAGGCATGGTGGCACACGCCTGTAGTCCCAGGAGGCTGAGGCAGAAAAATCACTTGAACCCAAGAGGCGGAAGTTGCAGTGAGCCGAGATGGTGCCACTGCACTCCAGCCTGGGCAACAGAGTGAGACTCTGTCTCAAAAAGAAATAAAAAAAAAACAAAAAGAATAAAAAGGTAAAACCTTGCGTCTGATGGCCGGAAGCTTACCCTACCACAATATGACAGAGTGTTGGCAATTTCTATTTTGTGTTCTATTCTCATGCATTTGTCCATCTGTGAACTTACATAGACTCCACCTATTTTGTTTGAGGCTGCGCTGGGAACTTATGCTGATTAACCTAGTGGCTCTATGTTCAGGTGTAGGGAGAAAGGCCTCTCTTCTTGCTCTTTCCAAATGAACTAATTCTTTAGATCAGCACCAGGAGGACAGGGCTCCAGCTGCCATTTTCCATGAACCATGCAGGCTCTCTAGCATGGATTTGGCATGTAGGAAAATCTCCGTGAAGGCAGAAAGCAGCTGAAGAAGTCACAGGAAGAAGCTCCCCATAAGCCCTGCCCCAGACATGCTCCATTTAAGGATTCTGTTATGGAGGCTTAGTACCAGCTATGTGTCACGTGTTAAGCTCTACTTTCAAGGAACCTATAGTCATGTGGAGCAGCTGGAAATTGCAGGGTCCTATGAGGGCGCAGAGAGCAGCATGTGGCCCAGATGGCCACAGAGAAAGTAATGTCTAAATGCTGACACCTAAAAGATGAGTAGCAATCATTAAGCCAAAGCAGGTGGGCAAGGAGAGGGTTCTCAGCAGGGAAGCAGCAGCTGTCAAAGCCCATAGGTGAGGGCAACTGTGATGTATTTGGGGTAAACTTAGAACAGAGAATGCAAGGGAAGGAAGCAGCCAAAATAAGAGGAGGTAAGGGAGGCCAGGGGAAGACCACAGAGGGATCATGTTAGAAGGTTTGGCTCCACCCTGAGAGAAATCAGCAGTCACTGAAGTAGTTTAAATGATCAGATTTGCATTTTAGAAATATCAAATAGTGGCCAGGTATGATGGTACATGCCTGTAATCCCAGTACTTTGGGAGGCCAAGGCAGGCAAATCACAAGGTCAAGAGATCAAGACCATGCTGGCCAACATGGTGAAACCCCATCTCTACTAAAAATATAAAAATTAGCTGGGCATGATAGCATATGCCTGTAGTCCCAGCTACTCAAGAGACTGAGGCAGGAGAATTGCTTGAACCCAGGAGGCAAAGGTTGCAGTGAGTCAGGATCGTGCCACTGTACTCCGGCCTGGCAACAGAGCAAGATCCCATCTCAAAAAAAAAAAAGAAAGAAAAGAAATATCAAGTAGTGATTTGAACCAGTGCAGTGGCAGTGGAGATGATGAGAAGCAGCAGAATTTAAGAATCATTTAGGAGGCAGAATTTACAGATCACGGAAACTGAATGAATGTGATGGATGAGAGAGAGGGGGAAGTCAAGATCAAGCTGCAGGTTTCTGGTCCAAGCAAGTGGGAGAATGGAGGTGCCATTCCTGAGCT